ATGGAGCAAGTTTCATGAATGTGACACTTTTATGTTGTAAGATAGCAAGGGGGGGCATATTGTGATGGCCAGGCCTGTCATAAAATGCACCCCACCCCAAAAGAGGTTTCTATGAATCCCACCGTCAAGCATTTTTCAGGGTATGGTTCTAGGACTGGTACCAATAAATGGAGCAAGTTTCATGAATGTGACACTTTTATGTTGTAAGATAGCAAGGGGGGGCATATTGTGATGGCCAGGCCTGTCATATAATGCCCCCCCCACCAAAAGAGGTTTCTATGAATCCCACCCTCAAGCATTTTTCAGGGTATGGTTCTAGGACTGGTACCAATAAATGGAGCAAGTTTCATGAATGTGACACTTTTATTTTTGTAAGATAGCAAGGGGGGGTATATTGTGATGGCCAGGCCTGTCATATAATGCCCCTCCCACCAAAATAGGTTTCTATGAATCCCACCCTCAAGAATTTTTCAGGGTATGGTTCTAGGACTGGTACCAATAAATGGAGCAAGTTTCATGATTGTGACACTTTTATTTTGTAAGATAGCAAGGGGGGGCATATTGTGATGGCTAGGCCTGTCATAAAATGCCCCGCATTTCCGCATAGCATATATGCTGACAAAGACTATGTAACATTTGTAAACATATTTTGATTATTAGATGACAACTATGTAAAATTAAACAATACATTTTAAAGCACGTTTATACAGACAGGACGTAACAATAATGATAAAAAAAAACATTTAAAAAAACAAACTGAAAAGGAAGTGACGAACGAATTTCGACACCTCAAATACGGAGCGAAAAGTTAAACCAGAAGAATCAAGACTATGAGCTACCACTAAACAACTCACAGTCTGAAAATTACCATTAATAAAAACCCTGAACGTTTACTTTTCGTTTTAAACATCGTTTTAAGGTGTAAACCTATGGTGTTAACGTGTCATTTAGAGGTGTAAACGTGTCATTTAGAAATGCGCGTTCCCGTGACAAGGGGGGCATTTCATGACGGGGAGGCATAATGTGACACAACACCGGCTCTACCCCACAGTTTGCCGCTTGGTTTAAATGCTGTTTTATACTGAAAAACCAGAAGTTCTTGTGCACAACCAGTTGTTAAGTATTTTATTCTGAAAATCCTTCATCTCCGGTTAGCAGTTAGCATGTGGCTAGTTTACCATTTCTTATAGGGGTGAATTTAGTAGCGAAATGACATGGAGTGATGCACACCGAAACCTACTGATTTTAACACTGCAACTATAGACGTATTTTTATTGCTGAATATTAAATTAAGGTACAGTTTATTTGAATACAGTTATTGTTTACAGACGTGGGTAAGATGTGACAACATCCGGAATGACCAGAAACCAAACCAGCCGTGAAGTATTTTCTGTATTTTTTAGAATATTAACTACAACGTTTAGAATGTGTTAAAGGAAAAGTGATGAAAGACAATATGAGGAGAAGAGGCGTGTGTAGGTATATATTGAATGTACAATGCCTGAATCCTCTGTTTAACGTAACAACGGACATTAAGATGTGGAGGGCCGGCCCGCAGGGAGGAGCCAGGAGAAGATATATAACAGCAGCACCTGAGCGATTCGGCCTCTCTTTTCCCTCTGCTAGCGAGAGCCAGAGACAGCTGCTTTTCTGTCGAACAATATCCTGTTTGTGACTTTACCACGCTTTTTATTAATTAACGTACCAATTTGAAAACATCTCAGAGACTCCATTTAGTCTCCTTTTTAAGCTTCTCTTTCCTGGACACGAGAATAACCATCACAGATTAACAAACCCCACGGTTAACAGAAGAAACCCCACGGTTAACGGAAGAAACCCCTCTGTTAACGGAAGAAACCCCACGGTTAACGGAAGAAACCTCTCGGTTAACGGAAGAAACCCCACGGTTAACGGAAGAAACCCCACGGTTAACGAAAGAACCCCACGGTTAACGAAAGAACCCCACGGTTAACGGAAGAAACCCCTCGGTTAACAGAAGAACCCCACGATTAACGGAAGAAACCCCTCGGTTAACAGAAGAAACCCCACGGTTAACAGAAGAAACCCCACGGTTAACGAAAAAAAAACCTCGGTTCACGAAATAACCCCACGGTTCACGAAATAACCCCACGGTTAACGGAAGAAACCCCACGGTTAACGAAATAACCCCACGGTTAATGAAAGAACCCCACGGTTAACAGAAGAAACCCCACGGTTAACGGAAGAACCCCTCGGTTAACGGAAGAAACCCCTCGGTTAACAGAAGAACCCCACGATTAACGGAAGAAACCCCTCGGTTAACAGAAGAAACCCCACGGTTAACGGAAAAAAAACCTCGGTTAACGAAATAACCCCACGGTTAACGGAAGAACCCCCACGGTTAACGAAATAACCCCACGGTTAACGGAAGAAACCCCTCGGTTAACGGAAGAAACCCCTCGGTTAACGGAAGAAACCCCACGGTTAACGAAAGAACCCCACGGTTAAACGGAAGAAACCCCACGGTTAACGGAAGAACCCCACGGTTAACGGAAGAAACCCCACAATTAACTAAAGAACCCCCACGGTTAACGAAAGCACCCCCACGGTTAACGAAATAACCCCCACGGTTAACGAAAGAACTCCCACGGTCAACGGAAGAAACCCCACGGTCAACAAAATAACCCCACAGTCAACGAAATAACCCCACGGTTAACGAAATAACCCCACGGTCAACGAAATAACCCCACGGTTAACGAAAGAACCCCACGGTTAACGAAATAACCCCACGGTTAACGGGGAAAACATTTTATAAAACCTTGGGGAGAGCAACAGAGGAGGATACGCTTTTGTATTTTGTATTTTATTATATATGTTGCATTGTAGGAGGGTCAGAATAATTTCATTGCCATTTCTACACTGTAGCTTTGTGCATATGACAATAACACCTTTGAATCTTGAATCCTTCTCCCAGGACGGACAGACGGGCAATAGATGTCGTATGTGAATTAAAAAGATAATACATTCCAACATAGGCAGTCCAAATGCTAGAACATGCATGTGTCTATACATTCTACCTGCAGGTCCGCTGCAACTCTTAAATCCAGGCTGAAGACTTTTTGTCGCTGCTTTTAATTGAAACTGAGCCGTTGTGTTCATCAGTAAAGTAGAACTTCTGTGTGAACTATTCATATCTTAAACTGCACTGTAACTTTTTATTCATGTATTTTTTCTTTTAATGTTTCTTTTATTATCTTTTCTTTTTAATGACTGTTTTTAAATGCCTTTGTCTGAATGTCTTTCATTTTTGTAAAGCACCTTGAATTGCCTTGTGTTAAAAGGTGCTATATACAGTGGGGCAAAAAAGTATTTAGTCAGCCACCAATTGTGCAAGTTCTCCCACTTAAAAAGATGAGAGAGGCCTGTAATTTTCATCCTAGGTACACTTCAACTATGAGAGACAGAATGGGGGGAAAGAATCCAGGAAATCACATTGTAGGATTTTTAATGAATTAATTGGTAAATTCCTTGGTAAAATAAGTATTTGGTCACCTACAAACAAACAAGATTTCTGGCTCTCACAGACCTGTAACTTCTTCTTTAAGACCCTCCTCTGTCCTCCACTTGTTAACTGTATTAATGGCACTTGTTTGAACTCGTTATCAGTATAAAAGACACCTGTCCACAACCTCAAACAGTCACACTCCAAACTCCACTATGGCCAAGACCAAAGAGCTGTCAAAGGACACCAGAAACAAAATGGTAGACCTGCACCAGGCTGGGAAGACTGAATCTGCAATAGGTAAGCAGCTTGGTGTGAAGAAATCAACTGTGGGAGCAATTATTAGAAAATGGAAGACATACAAGACCACTGATAATCTCCCTCGATCTGGGGCTCCACGCAAGATCTCACCCCGTGGGGTCAAAATGATCACAAGAACGGTGAGCAAAAATCCCAGAACCACACGGGGGGACCGAGTCAATGACCTGCAGAGAGCTGGGACCAAAGTAACAAAGGCTACCATCAGTAACACACTACGCCGCCAGGGACTCAAATCCTGCAGTGCCAGACGTGTCCCCCTGCTTAAGCCAGTACATGTCCAGGCCTGTCTGAAGTTTGCTAGAGAGCATTTAGATGATCCAGAAGAGGATTGGGAGAATGTCATATGGTCAGATGAAACCAAAATAGAACTTTTTGGTAAAAACTCAACTAGACGTGTTTGGAGGAGAAAGAATGCTGAGTTGCATCCAAAGAACACCATAGCTACTGTGAAACATGGGGGTGGAAACATCATGCTTTGGGGCTGTTTTTCTGCAAAGGGACCAGGACGACTGATCCGTGTAAAGGAAAGAATGAATGGGGCCATGTATCGTGAGATTTTGAGTGACAACCTCCTTCCATCAGCAAGGGCATTGAAGATGAAACGTGGTTGGGTCTTTCAGCATGACAATGATCCCAAACACACCGCCCGGGCAACGAAGGAGTTGCTTCGTAAGAAGCATTTCAAGATCCTAGAGTGGCCTAGCCAGTCTCCAGATCTCAACCCCATAGAAAATCTTTGGAGAGAGTTGAAAGTCTGTGTTGCCCAGCGATAGCCCCAAAACATCACTGCTCTAGACGAGATCTGCATGGAGGAATGGGCCAACATACCAGCAACAGTGTGTGAAAACCTTGTGAAGACTTACAGAAAACGTTTGACCTCTGTCATTGCCAACAAAGAGTATATAACAAAGTATTGAGATGAACTTTTGTTATTGACCAAATACTTATTTTCCACCATAATTTGCAAATACATTCTTTCAAAATCAGACAATGTGATTTTCTGGATTTTTTTTTCTCATTCTGTCTCTCATAGTTGAAGTGTACCTAGGATGAAAATTACAGGCCTCTCTCATCTTTTTAAGTGGGAGAACTTGCACAATTGGTGGCTGACTAAATACATTTTTGCCCCACTGTAAATAAACTTGCCTTGCCTATACATAAGAAGAAGATGAATCCAGCTGGGTGTCAAATCTCTCACCTTTTTTTCCATCACCAGATGTAAATTCACTCTTGAAAGTTTCCTGCATGGAAAAACAACAATGCACATAATTTCACTTTCAATCAGTGGTGATGACCAAAGACATTGTTCTTTATTTTGTATGCATTTACCTAATAATCTCTAATTTAAATGTATATGTTTGCAGTTACTGAGACTAACTTACCGTCCCCACTCTGTTTATAGCGCAGGTGAAGCAGTGGTTAGCGATCGCTGCGTTCCTCGCCTCGATCGACCACATGGGCTCACTGAGGACCAGAAGAAAATACATTATATTCAAGCATGGGGAGAATTTACTTCTTCCGACAAAACGATAATGTGAGTGTATATTTATTTGTAAGAGGAATCCAGGAGTAGGGCTGTGCAATTAATCGTATTTTAATCGCGATTACGATTATGGCTTGCGACGATTAGGAAAACAGCATAATTGACAAAATACGATTATTTTGCTGGGTGCGCTTTCGCCCCTCCCTAAAAGCCCACTCGGCCACGTGGGAGTGACATGTGTTGTGAGTGTTCAGCGCAAGCGAAGATGTCAGAACAAGAGCAGCAACTCGTTAAAAAGAAGGGTCGCGGGGAGATTCCCAGTCGATCGCGAGATGTGTCTAAAAATAGAACAACAATATTCTGTTTTATCGTTAATGTCCTGTAACATAATGTTCCCGTGCCAGAATAATGCACTTGAACGCATCAAAGCTTTGTGATTGGCCGGCCTCACCCCATGTGTCCGGGCGTGGCTGGTGAGCAGTGCACTATTTCGCTGACGTTGTCCGTGTCAACAGCATGGATGGTCAACAGGAGTGACAGTCCGCACAAGACCGCAATTATGGCAGAAGCAAAAAAGCCCAAAATATATAATTTTCACTCCAAGTGGGAGGATCATTATTTTTGTATCTATTCCAATTCAAAGTCCATCTGTCTCATCTGCAATGCGAGCGTGGCTTTATCGAAGAAGGGTAATTTAGGAGCGGCATTTCAAAACAGTGCACAAACGCTACGAGACGGAATTCCCTCCTATTCTGCCCTACGCTCCAAAAGGGGAGGGGCCTGAGAGCACAGCTAAATGCACAGCAGTCCATTTTCACCAGGCCCAACAACAAGAGCAAGGCTGCTACCAGAGCATCTTATCGTGTCAGTCACGTTCTTGCGAAACACATGAAGTCTTTCGAAGACGGCGAAGTTATGAAAGAAGCTTTCCTGGAGGCTGCGACGCGCTTTTGTGGGACAGTAAAAATAACAGCAGCATTTCAACAGGTGTTTGATATAATAAAAACTCAATTTAGATACCGTTATTAATCTGCTGTAAGTTTTAGTTTGTTTGAATTTATTCATGATAATTATTGTACAAAATGGTATAAGAATGCAAACATTAAGATCTGTTCTGTTTAAATTGATTATAGTCTATCAGTTCAGAAACTAGTGTTGCTTGCATCCTATTTTAAAGGCATTTCTTTTTATACTCTAATAAAATGCAACAAAAAATGGGTTTGATTCTATTAATGTTGTCTTTTTTATTGCACTGTTGCTGCAGCAGATTACTGTGTAGCTTCAGATCTGAGTTGTCTTATTAGTAAGCCTAATTTATACTTTTGTAGCAACACTATTTTTATATAATGGCAAAGAAAGGGTTCTTCAGAGTCTTTTCTTTTTTTCCTGTGTCATATGTGGCAGCACTGCCACAAGTTGCTCTTCAGAGAGGGTCTTCAGTACAGGTGGCAATATTGTCACCTGCCTGCTTATTTCTTGCAAAAAATCTTTAAGAGATGACATGAGCAGCCCTACCAGCATTTGTCATGGTGGCCAAAACATTTAGTCTTAAATTGTAGTTCAACATTTATTTCCTGTTACTTCTGGACCATGACGGTTGGCCAGCCTTCAACGTTTAACTGAGTGGAATATGTTGAATATGTTTTACCAAAATGTTGGCTATATGTTAAGGAGTTTTCAGTAGGTTGTGACAGTGCACTGCAACATATTTGATTTCATTTATTTTGGTCTAATTTATTTTTATTTATCATATTAATATATGTTTAGTATGGTTTTGGAAGTGTGCTCCAACACATTTATTGATCTTGTTTATTGGTAAAATATTATTTGTTTTAAAGTTCAATAAATGGTCAATGAATAATCGTCAAAATAATCGTGATATCAATTATTGACCAAATAATCGTGATTATGATTTTTGCCATAATCGCACAGCCCTATCCAGGAGTATGTCAAAAATATTCCAGGTGTCACCAAAAAATTATATTGTGGGCGTCATCAACAGACAAGAGATAATATAAGAGGTCCTATTCTGCTTCTTGGGGTTTTCCATTTCCTGTAGTGTGTTTGATATGTTTTAGTGCATGTAAACGGTCTGCAAAGGACACAAAATCCCTGTGTAACACTCCTGCTCCTATTGGCTAGCGCTCCAACACATTGTACTTGATAGGCTAAGGGGGCGGGACATCTCTAATCGGTTGATCAATCACAACAGAGCCGGCCAGCTAACCAATCAGAGCAGGCTGGGCTCTGGTTTCAGACAGAGGGTGAAAAGAGGTGCTGCAGCACAGGCAGTATGAGAAAAATAAAGAGCTTTTTGAACATTGAAGCATGGAGACATGTCACATTAGCGGCCAAGTAGCTTTATAGGTCCCTTTAATGTGACTTTGCTGTACTTGGAGAAGCAAAAGACACATTTGCACTGATAAAGACAATAAATAAATCTGATGCAATCCCAAATACTTGTTTTTAAGCAGGTTTTTCCCTTAATTGAAAGGGAGATCGAGACAGATGTGATGAAGCAAAGGTCCATGGTCCATTCTGCTACTTTCAGATTGCTTTTTTAAAGATGAATTCCTGTGAAAAACCTCTAAATACACTAATATCTCCTCTTTCACAGTACTGAGTATTTACCTGAGCGCTCCGACAGTAGCTGACGGGTTGAAGATGATCTCCGCTCCGTTCATGCCGAACATGAACCAGTTAAGAGGGTGATGGCGGCCGTAGCAGATATTCACGGCGATGTTCCCGAACTGCGTCTGAAACACCGTGTGTCCGCTGTCGCCCTCCATGTAGTACGTGGACTGAGGGGGAAAAGAAACACTGTGAACATTACATTTAAGTCCCAAGACGTTTTTTTTTTACATACAAGAAAATAGTACATACATATATTTTAAAATGCTCTGTAAAAAGGTGAAATACATCTGAGTTCAATTGAAAGCTGTATAGAAGAGAAGTGCAATACAAATAATAAAACTATGAACACTATATATCCATCAAAATGAAAGCTTTATAAAAAGAAATGAACAATACAAATAAGAAAGAATGCTATAAAATATGTAAAATGTATATGAAATAAGCTTGTATCTAGCTAATATATAGTATAGTGTATGTATATATGTAAAAATAGCTAGTATAAAATACAAACATTAACATATTAGCAAAATACTATCAAATTAAGTACAATATATGTCTGAATTAAAATAAAGCTGCATAGAAACAAATTTGAATAAAAAATATGAAAAATATGTAGAAGTCATATCTATTAAATACTAAAAAAATGTGTAAAATAAATCAAAATTCCCACACTGACCTCATTAAAGTCTCCGATCCTGGGAATGTGGTTCTTCCGGGTCTTTCCCAGGACCTTCCCGGTGTTAGAGATCACCACGGCGGTGTTCCACAGGGTGCTGTGCCGAGCATCTCGCTCCAGAATCGGAGAAATAATCACCATGTTGTATTTCTTGGCCAGCTAGAGACAGAAAGCACAGTGTTAATATCATTCAAAAGGTTCATAAATAATACTAAATATACTAATGAAGATCAGCGCAAGTTCAACCAGGAAGACCGTCTTTACTCATTCATTTACTATGCTATGGTAATAATAAATGATCGGGGGCGTCACTCCCCAGCTTAACCAATCACTTCGCTCTATTCTCACAAGCCTATCATAGCGCTCCGCCAACCCTTTTAAATCTGCTCTCCCCCTTCTGACAGCTGTCATTTCAGGTGACTCGATGCAACCCTCCTCCACCCCTTTCCACCTCCTGTCCCTCTGAATCCAGGGTCAAGCTAAGCCCCTCCCCTTCAGACCGACCTCAACTATCCCTTCACCACCACCAGGGTCAAGCTAAGCCACTCCCCTTCAGACTGAACCTAACTATCCATTCACCACCACCAGGATCAAGCTAAGCCCTCCCCTTCAGACCGACCTCAACTATCCCTTCACCACCACCAGGGTCAAGCTAAGCCCCTCCCCTTCAGACCGACCTCAACTATCCCTTCACCACCACCAGGGTCAAGCTAAGCCCCTCCCCTTCAGACTGAACCCAACTATCCATTCACCACCACCAGGATCAAGCTAAGCCCTCCCCTTCAGACCGACCTCAACTATCCCTTCACCACCACCAGGGTCAAGCTAAGCCCCTCCCCTTCAGACCGACCTCAACTATCCCTTCACCACCACCAGGGTCAAGCTAAGCCCCTCCCCTTCAGACCAACCTCAACTATCCATTCACCACCACCAGGGTCAAGCTAAGCCCCTCCCCTTCAGACCGACCCCAACCATCCATTCACCACCACCAGGGTCAAGACCCCGGGGGGTTTCATCGGATCGGTTCTCCCCTCCCGAATGATACTCCTGCACAACGGGGCCTAATCGCCAAAACTCCATTACATTCATTTGTGTATTCCTGGCAATAAATATGTATTCTAACATCAAAACCGTCTCTCCTGGTTGAACTATTTGAATGGGTGAGGCCGAGTTAAACTACCATATGATATAGGTGGTAGATATATGTATTAATAATGTTTTTGATTAATTGTAATAGTTGTACTCATTGAATGTCATATAGAGCAATTTCTTTATTTACTTTTTATTTTATTACATTCATTTAATTTAAAAAAACTCTGTCTATGAACAGTTTTATTTCATACTATATTATGACATCTTAATGACTTTTCATCAAATATTAGTGGGACTTTTTATGACTTGCTTTGACATCATTTTCCAAGACTTTCTATTGTTTTAACAAAATATTGTGACTTTTTCTGACATAGCCTACTTTACCTTTAACATTATTTTTACACCATATTATGACTTTTTATGGCATTTAATGACTTATGACATACTATACTATGATGTTTTTTAACATAGTTTACTATACATTTTTAAACCATAGTTGTATAACATAATATACTATGACTATGATGCACATGCTACCCTGCAGTATATGTACTTATGCATATGTACTTTTATGTATGATAAAAGATAAGCTCCTCCTTTAAAAGCTGCAACATTAAAGTGGTAAGTCCAATAATTCACCCATATTTTAAATCCACTATTGCATTATATATTATTCTAAAATGTGCAGAATGAGTACTTTTGGAGCACATTTGAATGCTAATACTTATAGGTGTTTTACTAAGAGAGACTTTGAATGCAGGACTTTAACTGGAGAAGCAAAAAACACATTTGTGCTGATATAGACAATACATATATCTGATGTAATCCCAAATACCTGTTTTTAAGCAGGTGTTGCCCTTAATTGACAGGGAGATAGAGATGGATGTGATGAAGCAAAGGCCAATGGTCCATTCGGCAACCTTCAGATTGCTTTTCTTTATGAGTAATTCCACTGAAAACATCTAAATATACTAATATGAACCTGAAAGTATTTCTTATATACTTGTATTGCAGTAATGATTGACCTCTTGGCAGAATCGCGTGGTGTTTCCTTCCTCTGCAGACTCTGCAAACTCCGTCCACGGCTCCTTCTCTCGGGTGCAGAAAGCGAAGGGCATGGCTGTGGAGAGGAACCACTCTGAGTGTGTTTCTGTAGATGAAGTGTAACGTGTGGCTTTGATTTAATAAAGAAACTCACTCCAGGTCTCCTGAAAGCAGACGATGTTCACACCACACATGGCCGCCACTTCCACCATCTCCCCCACACGGCTGTGCATCGCAGTGATCTGAGGAGGAGGACATAGTCATACAGGTCTTTATTAGTCGTTCCATTTTTTGGAATCAACTTTTTATGATATTTGTCACATAACAAATATTTTTTATCACATAATATATAAATTGTATAAATATATATTTTTACGAGGTAATATACTATGACTTTTTTACGACGTATTTAACCGGAGTTGGGAGAAGTATTCAAGTATTGTACTTGAGTTAAAGTAGAAGTACTCAGATCTTGTACTTGAGTAAAAGTAGAAGTACTCAGATCTTGTACTTGAGTAAAAGTAGAAGTACTCAGATCTTGTACTTGAGTAAAAGTAGAAGTACTCAGATCTTGGAGTAAAAGTAGAAGTACTCAGATCTTGTGCTTGAGTTAAAGTAGAAGTACTCAGATCTTGTACTTGAGTAAAAGTAGAAGTACTCAGATCTTGTACTTGAGTAAAAGTAGAAGTACTCAGATATTGTACTTGAGTAAAAGTAGAAGTACTCAGATCTTGGAGTAAAAGTAGAAGTATTCAGATCTTGTGCTTGAGTAAAAGTAGAAGTACTCAAATATTGTACTTGAGTAAAAGTAGAAGTACTCAGATATTGTACTTGAGTAAAAGTAGAAGTACTCAGATCTTGGAGTAAAAGTAGAAGTACTCAGATCTTGTACTTGAGTAAAAGTAGAAGTACTCAAATATTGTACTTGAGTAAAAGTAGAAGTACTCAGATCTTGTACTTGAGTAGAAGTAGAAGTACTCAAATATTGTACTTGAATAAAATTAGAAGTACCAGAGTGTAAGAATACTCTGTTACAAATATTTGTAGGACATACTATACCATGACATTATATACTCTATCTAAATTATGTAAAGTCTCTCAATGTTTAGTAAACTCTAAATGAAAACCACGTCAGGTGTGTGTTAATAACGCGTGTGTGTGATCCAGACCTGGTCCAGGATGGGGGCGTCGGTCGGCAGCACGATCTGGTTCTGGATCAGTCCGACCCGGGTCCTCCTGGCCTTCCTCAGCTGCTCCGGAGACGCTTCAAACCCAAAGCCCTGCAGCTCAAAGTCCCGCTCCGAGGCGGCGCTGACAGCAGCTGCCGGCAGATCCAACTTCCTGTCAGAGAGGAGAGTTTTGGGAATGTGGACACAATGGACACACAGTAATAACATGTATTTCAGGTGGGTCTCAGGTCTTTACATTGATATTTTGGGGGGTTTAATGAGGTAATTATCCATATTAATCACCATCTAACCTGCAGCTTTTCCCCTGGGAATGACTATCACTGCACTATAATGACAATTTAATAATTATTGCATGTATATATTTTCTGTGAATATTAAACTGTCCCTTTTTAGCTTTTCTTATTAAATAATGGTGTGTCTGTTGTGACGTTTTTGCTTCCTTATATGAGTGAGTACTGTATGTGAAAATAATACAAACTATAAAATAACTTTTTATATAATTATCATAAAATATGAAATTTTTAATGATTTTTTAAATATATTTTTACAACATTTTATACTATGACATTCTTTTATTATTTCTTTATGAGATATTAAACAATTACTTTTGTATTTTTGACATATAACATCTTTTATGACTTTTTTATGGAAGTTATACTCTTAATTAACTTTAATATCAAAACTATACTATTGCCTTTTATATAATTTTTTATGACATATTTTACGATTACGTTTTTTATAAAATACTAAAATGTGTCATTTGTAAAATATATGTATGACATATTCTGGACCAGGGTGCTTTCCAGCATTATTTGTAACCAAAAAAGCCTAAAACACAACATTATTTGAACACACACGTGAGGTTATTATTTGCACAGGTTAAAGGTTGTTCCGCTCTGACAGAAGTTGAACTAACCAAAGTCCACTGACTGAGCAGAATAATAATTTACCAAGAAGGAAAACATAGAACAGAAAAAGCATAGTAATAAAAATAAAAATAAAGGTCCATATTCCTGGACCCCAACTCACTTCGTCTCCTTCCCGAATAAGATGCGTTTCACCTCGGACAGCTCGGCCTCGGGCAGGTGGGTCTCCAGACATTTCTCCAGGGACTCAAACTCACAGGAGGACATTTTGGAGGCTGTAGGGGCAGTTTCTGCGGGTTAGCAGTTCGTGCAGCTCGGTGATGTTTCTGCTGCTCTCGTTATATAGCAGTGTGTTTTCTCGCAGTCTGACGCAGGATTTGGTTCAGCAGAAGCTACGGTGTGTCCAGAGGCTGTCAGTGGCTGTTTGTCAGTAATTAACCCCAGACCCCCCCTCCCTCCCAGCTGTGGGGAAAGGCATTATTGAAGGGGGCGACCTCCGGGGCATGAAGCCAATGCGGAAGAGACTTTTTAATAATGTACAAAACAGCGTGGCTTTCTGAAATAAATACAACAATCTAAGAGGAACAGATGCATCCAGAAGACAGGACTAAACATCAAAAACTGAGATTAAAGTATACAATAAATTAAAACACAATAAGGGAAATACAGTTGTGTTCTTCAAATATGCTAAACCGTTTTATTTCATTTTTCTTTTTTTTTAAATAAACTTTATTCATCAGTTTTTGCATGAATATTTTGTACAATTGCATTATGTAAAAAGTAAACACATGAATTCCCTTTATATATAAAAAACATCACACATTGCAAAACACTATAGCCTAAAACTATAGCATAAAACACACAACAAAATAAACAACAATCCAACAAGGAATATATGTAATTTTACTCAAGTACAAGTACACATTTGAGGTATTTGTATTACACTTGAATATTTTCACTTTATCATACTTCTACTCGTCTACATGTCAAAGCAAATATTGTACTTTTTTCTCCACTGTGTCTTTGATAGCTTCATAAAATATATAAATCACCTCATAATTATATTGTATTAAAGGTACACCTACCAAGCAGTGCAAGTATAAACTCCACCTTCAATAATTCATCATTAATGATATAGTAAATTAGAATAAAATATATGATTCTAAAATGGGTAATTCTGCATAATCAGTATATTTTGATGCAGGACTCTTACTTGTAACAGAGGGTTTTACGCTGTAGTATAGCTAGTTTGACAAACTGTGCAACATGTGAGTACTTCTTCCACCTCGGACTTTAAGAAACTATTTGATGTGTTTTTTCTTGTTGTTTGCAGAGATGTGTTTGCTCCTCTGCGTCCGTCCTCTCGTCTTCTTCTCTTGCTCCTGATCGGGGTTAGACAGTTTCCTCAGCAGCTCTACGAAGGAAGAAATTAACATTTAATTATATTTTAATGTTGACAAACAGGAGGCTTTAGAGAGCCTTTTTTAATATATAAATCTGCTGGTTTGTCACCTGTTATCTCCGGGTGTCTGCAGGGGTTCAGGAGAGAAACATATTTCTGACCTGCAGCATCATCCTCTCCTGGAGAAAATAGATCATATATTAATTAGTATTTTAATGTAGTATAATAACAGCTCGATACATTTGTAGGATATTCTCCCCATATATCAATATGAAATATATATATATATATATATATAATGTAGAATACCTCTAGTATAGCAGCAATACAGTAATTTAACACTATACAAACAAATGAAAACATATTTATTTTATTTTGTAATGAAAGAGACACCATTTTTACACAATCTAATTCCCTTAATATATTATTAATAATTATTTACTTTTATTATAATTGATTATATTCATTTTAATATTTTATTAGATACATTTTTGGTTTGTTTTGGACGAAGGCATACCCTAAAGCTCCTTTATAATAAAAAAACAATGCATTTACAACTGATGTAATAATGTAACTTACAAAATAAAAATAAAGTTGTGTCTCTTATTGACATTATGTTTAAGCATTAGATCCACGTACTGCACACTCTCAGCAGGAAGTAGTGTTGTCTCTCCGTCAGCACGCTGCTGGCCAGAGCGACACTTTGCTGCTTCGCCTCCAAATCCATCACTTTCCCACCGCCGTCCATCAGCTCCACGCACTCTGCACGAGGGAACGCTTGATGTTACTATTACAAGACATGACGGAGGCCTGAGAGGCAATTGAGCTTCAAAGGCAGGCAAGGCGTTTATTTATACAGCACCTTTCAGCACACGGCAACCCAACGTGATTTACCAAATGAAAGAGACATTTAAGAACAAATACAGTGGAAGCACGTGGCATTTCAAAACAGGCATTTAAACAACGAATATAATGAAATCAACACAACAGGTATAAAACACATGGATAAAAAGCCATACTACAATTTGAGACAACTCATCCAAATGCAGCGTCAAAGAGATACGTTTTCAATCGCGATTTAAAAGTATCAACCGTTGCAGCGGACCTGCAGGATTCAGGCAGTTTGCTCCAGATGGTCGGGGCATACTAAACGCTGCTTCTCCATGTTTAGTTCTGACTCTTGAAGCAGAGAGCAGACCCGTCCCAGAAGACCTGAGGTTCATATTTTTGCAGGAGGTCGTTGATATCATTTAAACCATTCAGTGCTTTAGAAACCAGCAATAGCACTTTAAAATCAATTGTTTGGCAGACTGGAAGCCAGCGTAAAGACTTCAGTACTGGACTGATGTGATCCACTCTGTTAGTGAGGACTCGGGCAGCGGCGTTCTGAATCAGCTGCAGCTTCCTAATGCATTTTGTGAGCCCTGTGAAGACACCATTATGCGTTTGTAAAGGCTTATAGGAAATAAGTAATTTTACTCAAGTATATTTGAGGTACTTGTACTACACTTGAATATTATTATTTGTTTCTACTTTATACTTCTACACGTCTACATGTCAGAGCAAATATTGTACTTTTGTCTCCACTGTGTCTTTGATAGCTTCATAAAATATGTAAATCAACTCATAATGATCAAAGATGCTCTATTATGCTTCAGTAAAGGCTATAGACTATATTGAAGAGGCCCCACTATTTGTGTCCCTTTCCTGTAGTGTGTTATTTAGGTTTGTGTGCATGTAAATGGTGTGTAAAGGCTAAAACCCAGAGGGAGTCATTTAAAGGTCACCTATCATGCTATTTGTAGGCAATAGCATAGCTCTCAGATATACACAAATATAAAAAACATGTCTATGAAGTGTTTTGCTCAAAACACCAAACAGATCATTCTATCCATGCCTCATATCCCTCTATTTCACTTCCTGTTTCAAACGTGCTGATTTGGGGTAAAAAGCTTTAAAAATAAAAAGCAGGGGTCTGAGCTCATGCGGGACCCGGCAGCTACTGTCTAAACTAAATGCTGCCGTGATGAAACTCCATATCATGGATTATCAAGGATTCTCTCTGAAACAGTCTGGAGCTCAAAGGCTTTCTCTCTTGCCGGTTATACCACAAGGTGAGTTCCTTTTTACTTCCTGCTTCTTCACACACATGCTCTCCAGTACAGGTTAGCTCTGAGTGTTAGCGATGCTAATGTAAACACAGACCATATTACGTCCAAAACAGTCGGGCATTGTTTCTGATAGCAACTTTCTGATTGGGCCGTGGGTCCACATTTCAGATATTACGTCATATCGGACGCAAATCTGGATCAGCTCCGTTGTTCCCCGTTTTTAGAGATTTGGGTACGGAGGAAAAGAGAGAGGGTTTTATTTCCTGACGCTGCGTGAGTTCCCCGACACACCGGGGACACATTTATGTATAAAAGATATCTAAAAGTGCATTTTGCATGATAGGTCCCCTTTAAATAAAAACATTTTATCTGTAAAACATGTACAAACTTTTTTCTACTATGAGGTAATTTTTGTAAACACAAACACTTTTTTCAAATCTTTGCTGTTGTTAAAAATGTGATATGTAATATTTTAAATTCAGATATACTCGTTTTAAAGTCATTATAATAACCATTACTAACATTTGTGTTTATTACCTTTGAAGTCCAGACCGCATCGCTCCTTTAAATGATGGATGAAGTTTATCAGCTTACAGTTGAGATTTAATATCTCCATCCTGCTGTCTGGCAAGAAAACAATATTGTTAAAAATAAGAGATGAAAAAAAACACCATTTACATTTACATAATCACATGAGGATAATTGGACTTGTTTTTAAACACTTGAAAAGCTACCAGAATATAAAAGAACGAGGATCTTTACTAACCTCCGTGCAGGATAGTGACGAACATGTTCTGCTCCTGACTCAGTGCTCCTCCACTCACACTGACTACCAACTCTGACCCACATGTGTTTACTACAGAGAGCCCCAGAAACACACAGAGAAACAAAAGAGGCCCTTAAATCTGTTTTGGTGCACACTTTGTGACGTAGAGATGGCACACACACACACACTTCTTTTGCATCCTCCTCTTCTTCTCCTTTCAAAGCCTTATAAACGAGGGGTTACTGTTGCTTGTATCCATGGTGTCCACACACACACACACACACACACACACACACACACACACACACACACACACACACACACACACACACAACACCACACACACACACACACACACACACACACACACACACACACACACACACACACACACACAACACACACACACACACACACACACACACACACACACACACACACACACACACACACACACACACACACACACACACACACACACACACACACACACACCTTTAAAACTGTACGATGTGTCTGTATTTTCTACAGATTTAAGAATGAGAAATGTTATTTAGGAGCTAACACACTAAAAAGAGGTCTCAGTTGTGAATCTTTTTTAAAAAGCACGAAAGACCCCTAGGGAAGCTTTGAAAAGAAGTACGCTCTGCACCCTTTACCCTGAACCCACAGGGGATTGCTGGGAAAATAAAGAAGTCCTAACATAGTTTGACTAAATAACCCATTTCCCATAATGCTCTCTGGCTATAGACATCCCTATCTGATATGATACCTCGCCTGGGGAAACGCCTGCAGACACGCCTTCAGCTTCTGAGTAGAGACGGTGTCATTGTGGACATTAATGACGGCAAATACAGTAAGGACACTTTAAATGTAAAAGGAATTTATTGAAAGGCGGGACTTTGTGCTCGCCTGCATGTGACAAGACATTCAGCAGAGACACACAAAAAGGCTCGAGTCATGGGTTTGAGTTTAAAGGGATATTTCACCAATAAAAGGATCATTTGTGTATTAATAACTCTTTGCTCACATGCCTCAACTCTTACCAAAGCATACACAGACAGACCATTCTTGATGAATTGAAGTACAGTGAGTACATCCTAAACAAATGCATTTCCAGTCAAATATTACAATTTAAAGCTCATTTTCAGGGTCATATTTGTATTTTCTGCCTCTCCTTTAATGTGCTGCAGCTCCTCTTTTCACCCTCTGTCTGAAACCAGAGCCCAGTCTGCTCTGATTGGTTCGCTGGCCAGCTCTGTTGTGATTAGTCAACCGCTTAGAGATGTCCCGCCCCTCAGCCTATCACGTACAATGTGTTGGAGCGCTAGCCAATAGAAGCACAGGTGTTATATAGTGATGTCACTATGTTCAGGAAGCTACTTTACTTCAATTCATCAAGACTTTTCTCTGCTTTTCAATTCTTCATTTACAGTGGAGGTAAATGTAAGGAAACACTGAGTGAGTCGTTGATTGGAGGTGAAGTATTCCTTTAAGTCTAATCATTAACAATCCACTCATCAAACTCAGAAGTCAACAACATGAGAAATAACTTAGAAGTCACAGTGTCACACTTTCAGCAGACCCAAACACAGAGTTAGGGATATATTACCGAGTTTGGGGCCTTCGCTTTAACACATTATTATGAAACACACGTGATGTGGGAGAAGCTGGATTTCAGTGTGAGAGAAAGGAAAAGGCTGGATGTGAAAAAGGTTTTTGCAAACGAGCGTGAACGTTGCTTCGCAGATTTATTGAAGTCTGTGCACCACGCAAATGACGTATGTAAACGTCTTGTTTTGTAAGTGCAATACAGAAAAATACGGCGGGGAATGTGGATTCAAAAAGATTCATTTGTAAATGTAAGTGAGACTCAACCTTGTGAACACGAAGACAACAACACATGGTTTAAAACGTGGGACACAAACACCTGACTCATGTTTGAAGTGTTTTTAGAAAAAAAAGAACTCACAAAGAACGGTTGGAGACAATTTGCTTTGGGTCGTGCACGCGGTTTGTCTGTAGCCTCATCCCAACACCCCTCCTCGACTCCTCCTTTCCTCACTCGCTTCTCTTCCTTGCATCTTAGCTCCGCCTCCGTAAGATGCGAACGAGGGACACGAGGAGGTGACGCGAGGACAGAGGAGTCCAGGGCTGCTTCTCAGGTCGACTATTTTCATTTCCTCGCTCCTCGGTCTCACCGGAAGTTGATTTGCCTCCTGCGCCATCTTGAGTACCGTCCCATGGCTCTTATTTCTGCCGGAGGACCGAGGATCGAGGAGCGAGGAGCGATCATGGAGGAGCGATAACCGAGGAACCACCAGACCATCCTCCGATGAAATCCTCAGATACTCACCCCGCCCCCTTACTGTGTATCGCTCACTGATTGGACGAGGCAGTGCATGCACTGATCTGATGCTTCTTGACATGAGAGCAGAGTGAAGAAAATACATGAACCTCACGGGAGTCACTCCTCAGTTTATACCGTGTTTTGTTTCAATTCATGTTTCATTTAGTTACAAATATGTGATATATCTGAACAACAAAGTGGTCACAAATCATTTAATTCATTTTTTGGAAACATTTTCATGATCGCTTTTTTCGTTTTACATTTTCATGTATTGTCATTTCCATTCAGTCAGTCATTAAGTGCTATTGAAATGTTAATTTACTACATATCCAAACAAACAAACAAAGTGTGCAATCCAATGAATGTTAATCTAACTGGGTTTTGATAGATAACATATCTCTTTTTCTTCTCTCAATTATTTTATTTATTTTGTGCACTCTAATCAATATTAAACAAACTATTGTTCGTTTATACATTTTAAGAATGGCGTTTATCTTTTTTCAGAATGAGTTCTTATTGTATTTAATGTATTTGGGTCTACAACAGATGATACAAATGTTTGTGTCAGTAAATGTGTACTAACAGAGGCGGGGGTGTTTGTGAAATATTTATTTAAATGAATGAATCTTTCTCTCGTTAGTCAAGGAATTCAATGTATGATGGTTGGTCCTGCTTTTGTGTTTCGTTTTGGTGTAAAATGTAGCCTACATTTAAATAAAAATATAATTATAGTAATGTGAAAGCCTTTTAGAAATGAATTGCACATAATAATTCCCACGGAGCTGTGAGCACTTATACATTTATGTGACGCTTTTCCACTCATCTTCCAGTTGTCCGTTTTTCTCTGTTGAAATCGACCAGCTGTGAAGGTGGGGGCGGGGCTTTTATACAGTGAAAACACTTCCGCGTAGTCTGCTCGCGTGTATCCTCTCTTTCGTCTCCTCCCGCACCCCTCCTCCCTCACCCCTCCTCGACTCCTCCGTGTGCATTTCAGCTATTGGGACGTCCTTCAACATGGCGTGTCTTGATCGATTTCCGGGTCAAGTCCCGGAGGAGGAGAAGAGAGGAGTCGAGGAGGGATATTGGGATGAAGCTTCTGTGTGTGTGAACGCGTCATCATCCAATCTGCGCACCTGGGAGGACGGGAGGTAATTAACCTATATGTGTGGGTGATCAGCTGGGATGAGAGGTTGCAGAGGAAGCCACACGTTTTTCAACCGTGATCGTTATGTTTTAAACAAGATTTTAGATATGTGAGTCTTAAAAGAACATTTGAAGTAAATAAAGCATTACAAATGACGTCATGGTGGACCTCATCCTTCACAACAACACGCGTTGGGAACTCTGACTGCTAACCTCCATGAGTAGCTTTTTTTGATGAGCGATCGCCGCTACAGATCTGCATATAAAAATAAAAGGAGAGACTTCATATATCTGGTCCGAAGTATTCTGTGGATTAAAGCAGTGGCGAACCGTCAGGGCCTTCAAGGTATTCAGAGAATACCCTGGAACACTCAGATAAAACAAACACAAAATCGATTTAATAATTTAAAATGAATAATGAGAATCGTATCCGTGTTGTTGATCTGTAATATTACAGTGGTACGTTGATTTGTTTGTCCTTCTCGGACCATGCTCTACGCATTTCAGTGGTTTTGTGTTAGAAAAGAAAGCAACCAATCAGATCTTGTTCTGGGTCTCTGGGTAGAATATCCTTCAACAAGGTATTCTACATCCTTGATCGAATGCCCTGGCCGTTGCTCTGAATGAGAGCGTACGTTTGGACTGACAGTTTGATCAACCAATCCTATATTGATTTGTAGCCAATGGGCGTGTTCTTTCAGAGTTTCCCTCGGTTCCAGGTGCTCTAGAAGGCCCTCTAGAAGTTAACTGGCTCGAGACAGAGGATCTAGATGAATGCGACGAAGCAATTCATGCCGTTTTATTGTTTTTAACGTTGAAATGACAAGTGCACTAGGTGAAGATAAAATTGTTGCGGAATTGTTGTGAGTACTCTTTTCAAGACGACAATTCAGTGAAAAGACGGACAATATAATGCCGCGGGGGCGAGGTGTGTGTGTGTGTCTACAGAAGGTCCAGTTGTGATAGACACGGTTCGCCACTGGATTAAAGGCAACAAACAAACGACATTTCAACAACAGTGCAGAGACTTCATTTTCTTAAATAACCTCCCCTTCTGAATAAAAACAAGCTGGAATAAACTGAGGGGGCGAGACTGTTTGGTTTTATTAAGCATTTTCTTGATGTTAATAGTTCATCACGGGTCTTGTGAAGTATTTTAACTTTGCACGTCTATTTGGTTTTTTACCGATCCACAATCCACGTTACAGTGTTTGCCATTTGTCTTTGTTTTCCTTTAAAAGACACATTTTATTCATGTTCGTAACGTCCGTAATGGCTCACACAACCTCTCTCCTAAACAATCCTCCAGTTTTGTGTCTTTCCATCTTCTTCTTAGCAAACAAGCTACAGGTTCATTCGCCAATAACTGGACTGGAGTGTGGAGCAAAACTGGATTTGCATTAGGGGCTTTTGCTGAACGTACAGGACCCTCGTGGATGGGACTAATATCGCGATTTGCATCATCAGGAACGTGTCCGCAAAGTTTAAAATGGCCTTTGCTCCTGTCCTGTCATACGCACTACGTCCACTAGAGGTCACGGTTTCTTCTTATATTCCTTTTTGTTGGTGATGTAGGAGCTGGAGCTTCTGACCCACACCTTTGAAGCTGATGAAGCCCATTCAATCATCCGATAACCGGGTTTTTCTGCATGCGTCATGACATGTTCGCCAGCTCTATAAAGCAACACTTCCTCTCCTGTTCGTCGTACAGCGATTCCGCCTGTGCCGACCTCGCCTCCTCTTCCACTTCCTGTCCTGCACTGTCGTGCTCTTGCTCTGCATACTGAAGATGATGATGGCGTCCAGGGATGTGTCTGAGAGCCTGCAGTGGACAGGGTCCCATTTTAGGACAATGGGAGATAATGACTGATAAAGGAGGCCGAGAAACCGCCACCAAACTTCCCCCGACAGTCGAGATGTGAGAGGAACATCTGCAGGAGCTTTCACAGCTGCTGCTGCTGCTGCTATGTTCAGTACAAGCGTCAAAGTTCATCCCGTCCGCTTTGAGTCTCATGGAGTTGCGTCTGCTGCTGCCGCTCTCGAAGGTTTCCTGCTTTCGAAGGATGTGTCGGCGGATAATCCTGCGAAAGGTTTGCCTGAACTCCCGGATTCGATAGGCATAGATAAAAGGGTTGATGACAGAGTTGGCGTGGGAAAGGATGATCGCCACGAACATGATCCACACTGGAGGACCAGCGCAGTCCGGACAGAAGAGCGTGAAACAGTTTATGATGTGGAGAGGAAGCCAGCAGACAGCGAAAAGTCCTACGATGATCGCTAGAGACTTCGCCGCCTGGACTTCTTTCTGCAGTGTGGAGCGAGACTTCCCCCCGTGCACCGCCTTCACCTCCATGAATTTGAGTTGGTGGCGAGCGGCCATGAAGATGCACAGGTAGATCCCCAGCATCAGCAGCAAGGGGATGAGCACGCAGGCTAAGAAGTTGAAGTAGACCATGTACTCCATGACCACCACGTCCTCAAACAGGCAGGGCATGAGGCCCGGGGGGCAAACGGAGCTGTTGCTGCTGTTGCTGCTGTCGGGGGGTTTGTGCCATCCCATCATGGGGGTCAGGCCGATGATGATGGATAACACCCAGCAGATGGCGATGATGCCCTGAGCGCGCTGCCCCGTCACCAAGCTGTTGTATCTGGGGAGGAAGATGATAGAAACATCAAATATAATATAAGAATGCTTTTCCCCCCCCTAAGGACAGCCATACTTAAAGAGGACATATCCTGCTGATGTTCAGGTGTATATCAGTATGTAGTGTCTCTACTTTAAAGAGTCCTCTCCTGCTGATGTTCAGGTGTATATCAGTATGTAGTGTCTCTACTTTAAAGAGTCCTCTCCTGCTGATGTTCAGGTGTATATCAGTATGTAGTGTCTCTACTGGGACATGTCTCCATGCTTTAATTTTCAAAAAGCTCTTTATTTTTCTCATACAGCCTGTCTTTTCACCCTCTGTCTGAAACCAGGTGTGAGGGAGAGAAACTCCCTCTGGAGGGAACACAGGGAGCTGTTAGGATGTTAGATTTTGGTCACCAAGCTGTCGTGCCTGGAGAGAAAAACGAATTTGTTTTTTTTTCTAAGGACATCCATACTTAAAGCGGCCTAGTTTATGGTTTCACATGAGACAAAGTCTGAAAAAGTTTGTTTAACCAATCCACCGCCCTTCCCTTTCTCCCGTTTATAACCTCCTAACCTATCAGGCTCTCCTCTCCTCTTTCTCTGCTTCGATCTCTCAGGCAAAAAGCACTTTCTTTCAAGATAAGATCCAATCTTCCTATTCCAATCCCAAAAAACTATTCTCCATCTTCTCCACCCTCTTGGACCCTCCCAAAGCTCCTCCCCCCTCCTCACTTCTGTCAAGCGACTTTGTTACCCACTTTGAAAAAAAGGTTGATGATATTCGCTCTTCTTTTTCTGACTCACCTTTACTCACCGCTGGGTCACCAGACTCTCCTTCCACCAACACACTTACCTCCTTTTCCCCTCTCTCTCCAAGTGAGGTTCTTACCCTCATTACCTCTGCCCGCCCTACCACCTGCCCTCTGGACCCTATCCCTTCAAACCTCCTTCAGACTATCGCTCCTGATATTCTACCGTTTCTCACCCATTTCATCAACACTTCTCTAACTTCTGGTCACTTTCCAAACAGTCTCAAGGAGGCAAGAGTAAACCCTCTCCTAAAGAAACCCACTCTCAACCCGTCTGATGTTATAAACTACAGGCCTGTCTCTCTCCTCCCGTTCCTGTCTAAATCACTTGAACGCGCTGTCTTTAAACAACTCTCCTGTTATCTCAATCAGAACAACCTTCTGGATCCGCACCAGTCTGGTTTCAAGGCAGGTCACTCCACAGAAACTGCTCTCATTGCTGTCACGGAATAACTGCACACTGCCAAAACTGCATCCCTCTCCTCTGTCATCATCCTGTTGGACCTGTCTGCTGCATTCGACACGGTGAATCATCAGATCCTCCTTCGCACTCTCCAAAAACTTGGAGTTTCAGGCTCTGCACTTTCCCTCCTCACCTCATACCTCAAAGACCGCACCTACAGGGTTACTTGGAGAGGGTCTGAGTCCGACCCTTGTCAATTAACTACAGGGGTCCCTCAGGGCTCTGTTCTTGGTCCCCTCCTCTTCTCCCTGTACACAAACTCGCTCGGATCAGTCATTAGCCCGCATGGTTTTTCTTACCACTGCTACGCTGACGACACCCAATTAATTCTGTCCTTTCCCCGCTCAGAGACCCAGGTCGTCGCACGCATCTCTGCTTGTCTAGCTGACATCTCTCAGTGGATGTCTGCTCATCACCTCAAGCTCAACCTTGACAAGACTGAGCTGCTCTTCCTTCCGGGAAAAGATTGTCCCACTCTTGACCTAACAATCAACATCGGCACCTCAGTTGTTTCCCCGACTCAGACTGCAAGGAATCTGGGTGTGACCCTAGATAACAAACTGTCCTTCGCTGCAAACATCGCTGCTACAACCCGTTGCTGCAGATACACGCTTTACAACATCAGGAAGATACGTCCCTAGCTGACACAGAAAGCGACTCAGGTTCTGGTCCAGGCTCTCGTCATCTCACGCCTAGACTACTGCAACTCCCTCCTGGCTGGTCTACCTGCATGTGCCATCCGACCTCTGCAGCTCATCCAGAATGCAGCGGCTCGTCTGGTCTTCAACCTTCCTAAATGTTCCCACACCACTCCGCTCCTCCGCTCCCTTCACTGGCTTCCGGTAACTGCTAGAATCCACTTCAAGACACTGGTACTTGCTTACCATGCTGCGAATGGATCTGGCCCTTCCTACATCCAGGACATGGTTAAACCGTACACCCCAGCGCGTGCACTACGCTCTGCATCAGCCAAACGACTCGCTGCACCCTCGCTGCGAGGGGGACCCAAGTTCCCATCGGCGAAAACACGTGGGTTTGCTATCCTGGCTCCAAGATGGTGGAATGAGCTCCCCATTGACATCAGGACGGCAGATAGCTTGCACATCTTCCGGCGCAAACTGAAACTCATCTCTTTCGACTCCACTTCGAGCGATAGATTTATTAACAAAGCACTTATATACTAATAAAGGACTGGCTTACCTAAAGCCAGTTGAGTAGCACTTGAAATGTTTGGCTCTATGAAACCTGATGTACTTATATGATTCTGTTTTCTTCAAGGTTGTGTCTTCCTGGTCGAATGTACTTATTGTAAGTCGCTTTGGATAAAAGCGTCAGCTAAATGCAATGTAATGTAATGTAATGTAATGTTATAATACTCCACCAGACTTTCTATTTCAAACCATGTTATGATTACAACCACCAGAGCGCGCCATTTAGCTACAAACGGAAATATGGTACATCTGCATCTCCCTGGCCTTTTCTTTCAGAGAGATAAAGTAACTAAGTACATTTACTCAAGTACTGTACTTAAGTACAATGTTGAGCTACTTGTCCTCTACTTGGGTATTTACATTTTATGCTCGTTTGTACTTTCACACTGGATCAACACTTAAACAATACTTTAGATAAACCTGGATTAAATTCACAATTAGTTTAAACTAGTTGCACCTTTACCAGATTTGAGAACACTTTCATGATCAATCATTATAAAACATATCATATATATTATTCTGAAATGGATCAATCTGCACAATGACTACTTTTACTGTCGCTACTATCACTATATTTAGATGAGAATACTTTTCTACTTTCACTTGAGGAACATTTTGAATGCAGGACTTTTACTGTAACAGAGTATTCCTACACTCTGGTACTTCTACTTTTACTCAAGTACAAGATCTGAGTACTTCTACTTTTACTGAAGTCCAAGATCTGAGTACTTCTACTTTTACTCAAGTCCAAGATCTGAGTACTTCTACTTTAACTCAAGTACAAGATTTGAGTACTTCTCCTTTTCCTCAAGTACAATATCTGAGTACTTCTACTTTTACTCAAGTACAAGATCTGAGTACTTCTACTTTTACTCAAGTCCAAGATCTGAGTACTTCTACTTTTCCTCAAGTCCAAGATCTGAGTACTTCTACTTTTCCTCAAGTACAAGATCTGAGTACTTCTACTTTTCCTCAAGTACAAGATCTGAGTACTTCTCCCATCTCTGTTGAAGACGACTTACGTACATCTATGCAGTTAAAAATATATATTTCATATGGAAGCCATTTCATAACTCCAATAAGGCCACTTCTCCAAATCAAAAACAAAACAAACCCTGACTTTGGCGATTAATAAAAGTCTGATTTTCCATGTGATCCAAAAAAGTACAAACCTTTCCGATTATCTATTTTACCAAAGCTTGTCCATGCCAGATTTTGAGACGTTACAATCATTAGAACAAATATTGTGGCTTTGTACGTCTTTGGGCCGTAACGAGTTGATAATATTCAGTATTCGGTAGATATGAGGTTTCCCTGGACTTGTCCTCAGATCAGCTGACGGCTCGGTGGAAGCACTTCTCATGGCGGAAGTAAACGAGCCAGAATAAACAAACAACGGTCCTGCAGGCCGCAGAGGAAGGTCTATTCTGGGGAGGCCTGTGTGGGAGAGCAGCTGAGATATTTGGCTTGTTTCTATCACATTCTTCAGATGTTAAAGTGCAGAGGTTAATGTTGCAACAACAAGTTTTTGTTGCAACAACAAATTTTCCTTATTAAATGTCCATTTTATATTTAAATATTGCTTGTTTTTATTTGTATCTCATTAAATGTCCATATCTCTTTACTAATTCATTATTTTGATTTATTTCTCTCTATATTTCCAAATGTTGTATTAACTTATCTCTTCTTTTATTAATCGAAACATTTCAAAATGTAGTTTTTTTGTTAGTGTGCATTACATTATAATGTTATAATCTAGTAAGGGAAGCATGCTTGCTTAAAGAAATTCAAAAGAGTGGCGCTTCCCATAATGGTGGTCGGCTATAAAAGGTCACAATGAGCCCACTCACAAAGCATGGGAGTTGATTAACCCTCCGGTTGTGTTTGTTTCCCCCCCTTACTTTGGTGTTCAAATTTGACCGGTCCTGTTTTAACTGCTATTACATTAACACAAAAACCATTAATCATCACCAAATTTCATTTAACACCCTTTCAAACTGTACATATTGCATCAGACTACTGGTATACATGAACAACTGCAGTAAATATACAAAGAACAGACACTGAACATGTATTGCGTCTGCCAGGTGTGATCCATGTGGGGGGAGGGGCACATAAGAGCGGGAAACGTGTCAAATTGTTCTGTGTGTGTGTGTGTGTGTGTGTGTGTGTGTGTGTGTGTGTGTGTGTGCCAGGTGTGATTCACATGGGGGATTGGGCACATAAGGAGGGGAACACATCTAGCGTATGTGTGTTTTATCTGATCCGGATGGTTACACCATGGGTGTTACAAAGTTGACTAAGTCATCCAAAATGCAATGAAAGTGGTGATCAGCAATTGTATATGTTCAAATGACCCGAACACAACAGGAGGGTTGAAGAGGTCATATTCTGCTCATCTTCAGGTTCATACAGGGGAAACACAGGAATATAAGCCTTTGCAGACCATTTACATGCACTAAAATCACACATTAAGAGAGGGAAACCCCAGAATAGAGCCTCTTTAAGATCTGAGTTAATGTGATGAGCTGAAAGGTTAAATATCTGGACACGTACCGTCTAATTTGATATCCTAATCTAGGCCGACATTCAACATAAGCGGTTTAATAAGCGATGTGTTTTACCAGTTAAAATATGAAGTAGGATCACACAGGGGGTTTGGGGGGGGGGGGGGGGGGTCACAGTCTGTGTAAGTAATTAGAGCGCCGCTCGTTGGATTGCCCCGGAGGGAAGCGGCCTCGTGGGAGACGCCATTTCTGGAAACACTTAATCTGCCAAGGGTTTCTGGATCAAATATCAAATGTCGATACTCATAAATACAAAATGAAATATGTGGTTTTATTGTGAGACCTCCACTCGCACGGGGACCAGGAGACGGATTACACTGAGCTGAGAACAAAATATATAGGAGTGCCATGAAATTTGTATGATTATTTGTTAACTATCTATTTACTTATTTATTTATATTTTGACATTTAGCTATTTACTTGTTTGTTTTGTTTTTAAATATTTCCACATTTTTGTATTCACTCTTTGAAATTCCTCAATTTCTTTGCTTATTTAAAATGTATTTGTCTTTATAAGGGAGGTGTGTGGCGCAGTGGATAGTGCGTTGGTGTTGGGATCAGGTTCAAACCCCACTGCAGTCAGCATGTCGTTGTGTCCCTGGACACTTCACCCCAAACTGTATTGAGTATGTAAGACATTTGGATAAAAGCATCTAACAAGTAACATGTATTTTATGACACTCCCATGTCTCCACCCCGGCTCCACTGACCTGAGCGATATCTTGATGGCGATGTAGCGGTCGATGGCGATGGCCAGCAGGCTGAAGATGGAGCTCTGCGTCAGCACCAGAACGAAGCAGGCGATGAACAGGCAGCCGTAGAAGTTGGAGCAGAACCCGGTGCTGATGGCGATGGAGAAGGGGATGGCGAGCACCCCGACGGCGATATCTGCCACCGCCAGAGACACCACGAAGAAGTTGGTGATGCTCTGCAGGTTGCTGTTGAGGCACACGGCCCAACAAACCAGAACATTTCCCAACACGGAGAACACGGCGATCAGCAGCTCCAGCACGATGTAGATGTGGAGGTAGTAGTTAAGGGGGGGTTCTTCAGACATCGTGAAGGAAAGGTCAAAGGTAAGGAGGGAGGAAGCCTCGCCTCAAACACCATCGCTGCAGCCGGGCGCCTCACCTCCACAAACATCCACCGCCAAACTCCTGACGAGAGAAATGTATTTACTCCTCACTGCACACTCAAAGGCTCCAGATAGAATCCTCTGCTGTCCCCTTCCCTCAGTTCCTCCGCTCTTAAGTCCTCCCCGCTCACAGCCTTCTTCCCATGAACCTCTCGAGGGGCTGAGATGATGCCAATAATCACTGAGGCAACGTGACGCTGCAGAGACAAAAGAGGAAACGCTGTTACAACATAGGAAGAGGATCTCAACATGTTGTGTGGTTTTGAGAAGTCTGCGTATTTTGCAAGTTCCTACGAAGAAAACCCTTTAAGCTCTTCCACGTTAAACTCTAAGTGACATCACTAGGCAACAGTTGTGCTCCTATTGGCTAGCGCTCCAACACATTGTACGTGATGAGGCTAATAGGCGGGACATCTCTAAGCGGTTGACCAATCACAACAGAGCCAGCCAGCTAACCAATCAGAGCAGACTGAGCTCTGGTTTCAGACAGAGGGTGAAAACTGAGAAAAATAAAGAGCTTTTTGAACATGAAAGCATGGAGACATGTCACAGTAGAGACACTACATACTGATATACACCTGAACATCAGCAGGAGAGGACTCTTTAAAGTAGAGACCCTACATACTGATATACACCTGAACATCAGCAGGAGAGGACTCTTTAAAGTAGAGACACTACATACTGATATACACCTGAACATCAGCAGGAGAGGACTCTTTAAAGTAGAGACACTACATACTGATATACACCTGAACATCAGCAGGAGAGGACTCTTTAAAAGTAGAGACACTACATACTGATATACACCTGAACATCAGCAGGAGAGGACTCTTTAAAGTAGAGACACTACATACTGATATACACCTGAACATCAGCAGGAGAGACTCTTTAAAGTAGAGACACTACATACTGATATACACCTGAACATCAGCAGGAGAGGACTCTTTAAAGTAGAGACACTACATACTGATATACAACCTGAACATCAGCAGGAGAGGACTCTTTAAAGTAGAGACACTACAATACTGGATATACACCTGAACATCAGCAGGAGAGGACTCTTTAAAGTAGAGACACTACATACTGATATACACCTGAACATCAGCAGGAGAGGACTCTTTAAAGTAGAGACACTAGCATACTGATATACACCTGAACATCAGCAGGAGAGGACTCTTTAAAGTAGAGACACTACATACTGATATACACCTGAACATCAGCAGGAGAGGACTCTTTAAAGTAGAGACACTACATACTGATATACACCTGAACATCAGCAGGAGAGGACTCTTTAAAGTAGAGACACTTACATACTGATATACACCTGATCATCAGCAGGAGAGGACTCTTTAAAGTAGAGACACTAGATACTGATATACACCTGAACTCAGCAGGAGAGGACTCTTTAAAGTAGAGACACTACATACGATATACACCTGATCATCAGCAGGAGAGGACTCTTTTAAGTAGAGACACTACATCTGATATACCACCCCTGAATCATCAGCAGGAGAGGACTCTTTAAAGTAGAGACACTACATACTGATATACACCTGAACATCAGCGGAGAGGACTCTTAAAGTAGAGACACTACATACTGATATACACCTGAACATCAGCAGGAGAGGACTCTTTAAAGTAGAGACACTACATACTGATATACACCTGAAACATCAGCAGGAGAGGACTCTTTAAAGTAGAGACACTACATACTGATATACACCTGAACATCAGCAGGAGGAGGACTCTTTAAAGTAGAGCACTACATACTGATATACACCTGAACATCAGCAGGAGAGGACTCTTTAAAGTAGAGCCACTACATACTGATATACACCTGAACATCAGCAGGAGAGGACTCTTTAAAGTAGAGACACTACTACATGAACATCAGCAGGAGGACTCTTTAAAGTAGAGACACTACATCTGATACCCGACATCAGCAGGAGAGGACTCTTTAAAGTAGAGACACTACATACTGATATACACCTGAACATCAGCAGGAGAGGACTCTTTAAGTAGAGACACTACATACTGATATACACCTGAACATCAGCAGGAGAGGACTCTTTAAAGTAGAGACACTACATACTGATATACACCTGAACATCAGCAGGAGAGGACTCTTTAAAGCAGAGACACTACATACTGATATACACCTGAACATCAGCAGGAGAGGACTCTTTAAAGTAGAGACACTACATACTGATATACACCTGAACATCAGCAGGAGGGAGGACTCTTTAAAGTAGAGACACTACATACTGATATACACCTGAACTCAGCAGGAGAGACTCTTTAAAGTAGAGGCCACTACATACTGATATACACCTGAACATCAGCAGGAGAGGGACTCTTTAAAGAGAGAGAGACACTACATACTGATATACACCTGAACATCAGCAGGAGAGGACTCTTTAAAGTAGAGACACTACATACTGATATACACCTGAACATCAGCAGGAGAGGACTCTTTAAAGTAGACACTACATACTGATATACACCTGAACATCAGCAGGAGAGGACTCTTTAAAGTAGAGCCTACATACTGATATACACCTGAACATCAGCAGGAGAGGACTCTTTAAAGTAGAGACACTACATACTGATATACACCTGAACATCAGCAGGAGAGGACTCTTTAAAGTAGAGACACTACATACTGATATACACCTGAACATCAGCAGGAGAGGACTCTTTAAAGTAGAGACACTACATACTGATATACACCTGAACATCAGCAGGAGAGTACTCTTTAAAGTAGAGACACTACATACTGATATACACCTGAACATCAGCAGGAGAGGACTCTTAAAGTAGAGACACTACATACTGATATACACCTGAACATCAGCAGGAGAGGACTCTTTAAAGTAGAGACACTACATACTGATATACACCTGAACATCAGCAGGAGAGGACTCTTTAAAGTAGAGACATACATACTGATATACACAGAATCAGCAGGAGACTCTTTAAGTAGAGCCACTACATACTGATATACACCCTGAACATCAGCAGGAGAGGACTCTTTAAAGTAGAGACACTACATACTGATATACACCTGAACATCAGCAGGAGAGGACTCTTTAAAGTAGAGACACTACCTACTGACATGAACCATTATAACAATAAATAAATCTAATCCAAAATACTTGTGTTTTAAGCAGGTTTCGCCCTTCATTGACAGGGAGATAGAGACAGAGGTGATAAAGCAAAGGTCAACCTTCAGATCGCTTTTCTTTAAGAGTAATTCCTGGAAAAACATCTATTCCCAGCTCTTGGATAATTCTATCTGTGAGCCATCTTCCCTAAAAGGCTCAGCAAACAGGAATCTGCTGTTTTTGAGTTGAAGAATCCCCTCAGAGAGAATCTGTCTGGAGGTTGAGTTGTGTGAGATAACAGCTGCAGCCTCTGCTCTCTGAAGCAGGGTTTCCCCTCTGGGACGAAGACACACTATTTATTAATAAAGAAAACTTGTTATTTCAAGGTTTTTAAATTCTATTTGACTCGCTTTTGTTGGTCTTTCCTCTGAAGTCAGGTATTCATGTGTCTTGATGTCAGAGGGATGAGGTGTTGCATTGCAGTTTATTATAATGTATTAAGCAGCACAAAAAGAAATCCCAGAGGAGAGCGAGGGGAATAATAGATCTGTGAAATCTAGGAGGCTCCCATGCTATCAATGCAACAACAAGAAAACACTACAAAACACTTGAAGGTCAAACATGTGTCCTCGATAACTCCCAGGTGCAGGACTCTTCCCTTTCGACCAGGTTTGGTTCATCCCAAGAAATAGTCTTTATAGGAATAGGAAAATAAATAAATATATATTAGTGCTGGGCAACAATTGATGATTTTCTGCGATTAATTGCAATGACCAGTTATTTTCTGTTTCGGTTCATGTGAGCGCTGCAGCAGTTTATACTTAAAGTGATGAAGATTTGAATGCCTTGCTGCTTCAACAAAACAATTTGCAATCAACAAAGTACCTTTCCATCTATTTATGGTAAATGTTCTGTACTTATATACCGTCTTTATCCATCTATCTTTTAATTCGACATCAAGAGGGGATCTTGTGCTAACTATAAAAAAGGTCATTAACTCCTTCTTCTTCTTCTTCTCTCTACTAACGACTCTTTTTACCAAGAAGTTGTATAAGTGCGGCTCCAGAGATAAGTGTAACAGTGAGGTCTCTTTATAAGGATTTGATCACACTAGCACCCACAGGACACGCTCAGAAAACACTTCTTTATACTTGCATTTATTAATTATCTTTGCTTCATCATGTCCTGCCCTGCAGAGGAAGTGAAGAGGAACACACGTCACACCTCTCAGCTTCCTGTCAACTCTACGGAGGATCAAAGTGGCAGCAGGTCTGCAGTAAAACGTGAGCTCTGATGATAAGAGACTGCTATAGCTGCAGTTTTAGAGATTTGTAAATTGAATTTCTCTAAAACAAGACAAAAATGAGTGGAATTAAGAATGAGATCCACAAAAACAAGAATCAAAGGACAGAGATTTGGGCGATTGCAACTTCAAAGTCTATATAGGGCAGAAAAACGTTTTCAGAGAAGTGCGGCGATAATGTGCCACATGATGATCTGTGTTACCAAGAATTACTTCCCCCTTTTTTATTTCACACCTTGACAGCCGACACTCCTGCAGTGAAGTTTCATTTCTGCAGTGAGGTGCATTTAGCTCCCTGGGTTAAATTATCACTTTTTAAAATAATAATTTGTTTTAAATGTTCTTAACACAGTGTGCACAAAGAGGATTTTAGCCTTTGCAGACCATTTACATGCACTGAAACATATAGAACACACGACAGAAAAGAGAAACCCCCCAAAACACAATAGGGTCTCTTTAATATTATTACACTTTGAACAGAAAACACATGGACCCTGTTTGTTAGCTGTTAGCAGTTAGCTGTTAGCTCGTTAACCATTTATTCACAACGTTAACATTGTTAGCTTAATGTTTCTTAAGGACACAGACCTATAAACCCACTGTTTACTTTGCATTGTTAGTTATTATTCAAACAAACTACAAGTACCTCACATGTGTACTTAATCGCTGGACATGAGTAAATATACTCAGTGGCTGTCAGACCTGTCAGTCCAGTTAGCATCTAAGCTAACTCTCAAATAAATGAAATAAATAAATCAGAAAATGCAAAAAAAATTAAGGAAATATTTGAAGAAGTAAAAAATAAAATAGGAAATATAAATACAAAAATAATAAACAAAATGTGTGGAAATTAAAAGACAAAAACAAAATCAAACAATAGAAATAACGATTTGTATTTTTATTATTACATTTTATTTTCCAATTTTTGTGTTTATTTTTATATTAAACATTATTATTATTATTATTTCATATTTATTTACATAAAGTCATTGTTATATCTTGTCGCGATTTTGCTTGGCTTTCCTCCATTATCTGATTCCTCTTTATATATCCTTCGTTGTTAATTTGCGTATTTATTATTCTATGCAAACCACTTGATATTTCCACATTCATCTCCTTATTTGTTTACAGATCATTATTCTTTTATCGGCACTCTTATGACTACATACACACGGAGCTCTACACGCTGTCTGCCACATGGACATTATTTATCATATTTCAATCATGCATGTATCACAAGCTCATATATGACGCATAATAGAGTAAAAACACTCTTATTTTATGAAACATTTAAGTTGTTATCGATCCAAATAACTCACCTTTCTCACAAAGTAGATTTCCGACACTGATCAGGTGTTAAAACACTTCCGACACTTTCCAAATATCGACAAATGGAACTTGAAGAATACGGTGAAAGTCAAAAACCAAAAACACGGTGAAAGTCTGCTGCACGCGGAGAGAGATAACAGCTATACGAGAGAGACTGAAGACAGATGAGAGGAGCGCTATCTGACACACACACACTTTCCTCGGCAAGGGGCGGGGCAGTTTATAACACACACACACACACACACACACACACACACACACACACACACACACACACACACACACACACACACACACACACACACACACACACACACACACACACACACACACACACACACACACACACACACACACACACACACACACACACACACACACTCACACACACACACACACACACACACACACACACACCGGCAGGGGGCGGGGCAGTTTATATCTGTCGAGGACACACGCTAAACCTGAGGCAAATTAAATAATAAAGTTAATATTCAAAATCAAATATTACACGTGATGACAAGTAGCCAGTTATTACTGTTTAAATAAATAATACACATATATAATGAACAATATCAACACAATATATACAAACATGAATAATAAATACAATAAGAAGATAGATAATAAATGTGGCTCACCGGTTTGACGTGTCTTTGATTCCTTTTACAAACATATTTAAACATTATAACATTTTTATTTTTTATTCAATCAATACCAGATATCAATAATTATACTGAACCAGAGGTTGGAGAAGTACTCAGATCTTGTACTTGAGTAAAAGTAGAAGTACTCAGATCTTGTACTTTGAGTAAAAGTAGAAGTACTCAGATATTGTACTTTAGTAAAAGTAGAAGTACTCAGATATTGTACTTGAGTAAAAGTAGAAGTACTCAGATTTTGTACTTGAGTAAAAGTAGAAGTACTCAGATATTGTACTTTAGTAAAAGTAGAAGTACTCAGATATTGTACTTGAGTAAAAGTAGAAGTACTCAGATATTGTACTTGAGTAAAAGTAGAAGTACCAGAGTGTAGGAATACTCTGTTAGTAAAAGTCCTGCATTCAAAATGTTCCTCAAGTGAAAGTAGAAATCTCATCAAAATATAGTGAAAGTAGCGACAGTGAAAGTAGTCGTTGTGCAGATTGGTCCATTTCAGAATAATATATATGATATGTTTTATAATGATTGATCATGAAAGTGTTCTCAAAGCTGGTAAAGGTGCAGCTGTACTCGACACCATTCAAATGTATTTGAATACTTGAACACATTTGGTTTATTGGATCAATGCAGCGTTGTGTTACTATAGTACAAAACATATCGTGAAATCCTTTGAAATAATAACTGTAAACGATAATTGTTTATTTGTGCACACATGTGGGAAAAAACGTAGTTCCTGAATTATAGCATTAATAATGTAAAGTATTACAATTAATTTTGAGGTATTTTATGCTCTGGTTTTACTGATTTGAACAAACAATTATCACTAGAGAAATAATTAGCAGATGTTTGCAGTCCTATCCAATAAGCTCCACAATAACCAACTGCGACAGTCAAATGTCCTTTTACATTAATGCAAGTAATGATACGCTCAAAATATAATACTAATAATAGTAAAACAGTCAGAGGAGGATATACTGTGACGACAAAAACCACAACAAACAAGAGGCTGTTTTAATTTTAATTTTATAACTATTGCCAAAAAATAAAGCAACATAAAAACAAACATCGTTTTTCTTTACAACTGATTATCATCGTAGTGTGCACTTAATACTGTAGCTTAGTCCCTTCTCTCACACACACACACACACACACACACACACACACACACACACACACACACACACACACACACACACACACACACACACACACACACACGGCTTTGCTATGCTCAAGGGACCATTTCACTGCATGTAGTGTGATCAGGAAAATATATATAATTCACACCAAAAAACAAACAAAAAGGCAACATTGGAAACTAAAGCAGGTTCAGTGGATCAGAGCATTTTCAAGTAAAGACAAAATAAATGTGATGAAGTGGACCCTTTAAATGTTTTTAGCTCGTTGTGCTAACGCTACGTGTTCCTCGTGGCTCTGCGTGAACGTGGACTGAGATTCTTTTAGCGTACGTCTCCTAAATGTCGTTATCACTCCCGCTGCACCTCGTAAAGTCCAACAGAAACACATTCCCAGCGAGCAGAGGCTTCAGATGTGTCAGGGCTTTCTGCAGGGAGCGATAACACACGCAGAAAACACACAGTTGGATGCTAACCACTTAGCATCATGGCACCACAAACCCCTTTCATGACTGCTCCGTACAGGAAATGAACGTTGTTTTGATCAATTCCTCACGTTGTGTTTCCTTGACTACTGAGCTGTTTGACTTGCATGCTTCCACGGTTAAAGAATATTATAACAACTGAATCAAAACACAACTCGTGTATCCAGTCGTAGTCTCACTGCTTTACTAACACATGCCCTTTTCCTTAAAGTCTCACATTATTGCAGGTGTTCTACACGTGTTTGAAATGTTATGGTTTTAGTAATACCGTAACGGGAATTCAACTAAATATGCAGGGTGTTTTTTTAATTCAATTAGGCAATTCCCCCCCTCGTTAGATTCAATGCATCAACCTTTCTCAGTTTTCTGATTCCTTGTTCAACGTGGAGGCAATGTCAAGGTAACACGAGTAAGAAACCGATTTATAAATTAGTCATTTTCTGGGTAAAGTACACTTTAGAAGATCATTTCGTGAGTTTCAAGGGTAATAACTTCAGTTTTTTTCAATGTGGACCCCATTTTTGAAATGTTTGTGTGTCCAATAGGAACTTTTACTTTGAAATGTTGCACCAATATACCTCATTTGTGGACGAAGCCGAGAAAAACACATTTCTCTAAGAATTCAAGGTTTCACGAGTGGGAAACTGATGTATGAATGGCCATATTGTCACTTAGAAGCCTATTTTCAGAGTTGTAGGCGTTATAACTTAGGTATAGTTCAACTTGGACCCCATTTTTTCACTGTTTTTGTGTCCAATAGGAACTTTGACTTTGAAATGTTGCACCAATGTACCTCATTTGTGCATTTGTGGACGAAGCCGACAACAACATACATTTCTCTAAGAATTCAAGGCTTCACGAGTGAGAAATGTATGTATTCATAGTCATAGTCACTTAGAAGCCTATTTCTTAAAATGTTAAGGGTAATAACTTAGGTATTGTAAATGTTTTTGTGTCAAATTGGAACTTTTACTTTGAAACGTTTGCAGGATGAGCGAGACGCTGCGACGTACGTCATGAGGGTGAATTATTCCTATGAAATGGCACGAACACCTCCCTCTCTCCTGCACAGAGGGTATAACGAGTTGCAGATGCACACGGCGTGAAGACGTGGCGCAGTACAGAGCATGTGCTTCTAAATCGAGACAAAAATGTAGTTTCTGATGTTCTGCTATTGATACCAGCTGGGGTGTTTTGTATCTCCCTTGTCTGAGGAGAACAGATACGCGCGGTTTGAAGGCTGAGTGTTAAGGCAGGAAGTTAGTGTCGGATAACAATAACAAGCTTATCTCAGTGTAATAAACTCACACACACAAAAAACACACACACACACACACAAAGCTACAATGACGGGAAACAATGCAAATAAATACAGTGAACGTGGCAAGAAGAGGCACGAGAAGCAGTCTGACAGCATCACATGGTGCTTTAAACCCCCTTATGTTAGCATCTTAAAGCACTTTATGAATATTTTACAATAGGGCTGAAATAGGACCGCTTATTTTCAATTACAATTAATTGCATGTTGCTTTCTAAATGCGTTGTTTAGTGTATAAAATGTTGAAATGCATTGTTTTTTCAGTCAGAAAACCACATTATTTCTCATTACTATGATATAAAACATAAAAACATATTTGAGAAGCTAATTTAAATATGTTCTGAAATGTTTGCATGAAAAACTCAAATATCAAATGCCAATAATTGTTCAGATCAATCGATTAACAATTGCAGCGGTGGTTTATAACTCACTATAAAGTAGGTTGAAGTGATTATCAATGCATGTCTATCACTATAACTCCTCCTGTGGACACCCATATGAAGATAATGAAGTGAAACACAGCGACTATAATAATGTTACATAAGTGTTGATAGAAGTTATCATATTTGACATCAAAAATGTCCTTAAAGCTGCTTATAACTACAATAAAACGTGTTATTAACGCGTTAAACTGCTTATATGGGGATTTAAAGTGTCATAAATGACTATTGCTGACATTCTGTGCTTTAAAGAGTTTCTATAGTAATGTTTAGTGACACAGGAATTTCAAAAACGACCTTTCTAACACAGCACCGTCATTATCACACCATGTAAGTCAATGGCACGATGAATTGTTTGAACTTTTGTGCTATAAACTTATGGTTTGGCAACGCTTTGGGAACAATTTGACCGGTTGGGAGATGCGCTTGTTCTTATCGAGGGTCAGATGATGAATTGAAACCACTCGGATGTTAAAGTGGTTTCATTTTTAACAGCTGAATGACTCTTTTAATGAGACGAAGTGTTTGCACGGACCGTCAGCTTCTTTCCAAACACTCGAGCACACTTTTCTCAACATGAGGTTCATTATTAGAGATGTTTTTTCCAAATCAGACTCAGAGAAACGGTCACTTTTCAACGTTTCCACATGTTTTTGTGTCAAAGCAAACAGCAATTATTGATATGTGTAGTATATGTAATGTGTAACGTCCACTAAAAGTTTGTTTTGGCTCGGATCAATAGAATAAATGCCTGACAAATGAATGTAGAGTATTAGTATGCTTATATGGAGCTACAGCCAGCCGCTAGTTAGCTTAGCTTAAGGACTGATTCTGTCCAAATGTACAGATCCGTCTACCTTCCCCCCTTAAACTCACTAACTTGGGGTTTTTAGTGACACTAGATGCATTTCTTTAGCTTCATTTGTACAAAAGCTAGTGACAAATGATTTCATTGACTTCACATGTAATGTGAGACTCGAGGAAGCGGCTAATCGGGACAATAAGTTAGAAAATTATGTGGAGTTTTAAGAGAGAAATGTACATATTTTTGTCAAAGTAAGTTTGTTTTAACCACTGATATCTGGAGGATCTGATGTGGGACTTCAGGGAGAGACTACGGGAGCAGATCAAGGTAAACAGATAAAGAAATATGATTAATGCCTCTCTGTCAGACACTTGAATAATCAATGTAAGTTTGCGGGGGGTAAAAACAAACTTTCAGTGGATCGACTTTGGCAAAATGTAAAGAAAAGTTCCAATTTGACACAAAAACTGGTAAAAAAAAAATCCCCTTAAGTTTCTCTGATCTAAAACCAGAACTTGAAATAAAACACTTTTATCAAAAGACTAAATACTACTCACTCATATTTTGGTTACGATGAAACGATGCTGTGTGTGCCCAATGGAATAAGTGCAGGACAGTAAATGCAAACACACACATCAGCCATTATCTCCAGACGCTGTTGAGAAATGATATTCAAGTGGAAAAGAAAACCTACAAAGAGTGCCGCTCAATACAATGTGTAGTCGTGTTGTGAAACGTAGCATATTTTCTGTGCTTGAAATGACCAACACTCAAAAGGCTCCGAATACATATTTGGCAACGACTCCTCAAATCTTCATCTTCACAAACATATCTCCTGCATCAAAGCTCACGCAGGCACTTTGTCCGCTTTGAAAAGGAAAACAAAGGCAGCTCAAATGTAACGGTGACGTCTGGAAGACTCGGTGCAGAAAGGCTGAAATCAATTCCTGTCTGAAGGCGTTTCGGGGAATTCCAACATCACTGGCTTTCACTTTGATAGACAGAGGCTTTCACTAAATATCCACACGCAAAGAACTGAAGAAATACTGGGACCATCTTTAAAAAAAACACACAATGATGTTCCACTTTCCCCCCGAACATGAGGACACACACACCACAACTTCTGACTTCCCTATTTGGGGTTTTAGCAGCTTCCGTACTGTACACACCACATCCGGAATATGCATCCATGCGTTTCACCGCAGTGCATTAGCTCTGAACCAGGATTAGAAACTTGAAGTATTCAAGCGCACATCTCTTGTTGGACGGAGACACACAGCCACTTCTAAACATGAGCAAAACTTGGATATGAACTAGTTTTGGTGCACGAAAGCTTTTCAAAAAGTGGGACGAAGGAATGGAGAAGGAAGCTGTCTCTCACGTTGGAAGATGTGAAAATACAAGTCAATCTAATAGGGGAATCATTCGAGTGCCCTGAAAAGCCAGTTTTGCAGGAATTCCCCCGAACACCCGGAAAGCTGTCGTAGGAATATGATCTGCAGAAAACAAAAAGGCACTGAGTTTGTGTTTGATGCTCCTTTAGACTCGGTTTCTGGATCTCATCGTCAGAGAGACTGTAACAGCAGGAGAGATCGACGCTTAATACTGTGGACCACGTGTGTGTGTGTGTGTGTGTGTGTGTGTGTGTGTGTGTGTGTGTGTGTGTGTGTGTGTGTGTGTGTGTGTGTGTGGTGAGTGTGAGAGCGTAGGTGGTGAGGTATTACAGTTGCTGGGAGCTCAGGAGGGCTGGCGTGGCTCTGATTGTGCTGCAGGACAGTAGAGTCTCAGGTCTCAAAGTACTTGTAGATGGCGGTGACGTAGGTCATGACGCTCTGCCAGTCGGGGCGCTCCGTGTGCACCATCTCATTCAAGTCCTGCAGCGGGGGAACAACACAGTCTGTTATCTTGCAGTTCATGACATTAATGCACACAATGGACCTGTGTTTTATTATCACTGGAGCTTTGTGCATATGACAATAAAACCTTTGCATTTGAATCTTGAATATCCGTTTTCTTTTTTTATTACTGCCGAATTTTATTCCATTTCAATGTAAATACTGCTATATTTGTAATATATTATAGTGTTCTTAAAAATAGTTCTCTGTGTTTTAAATGTGTAGTTTGCTTGATGTACATGTCAACTTACCTGGTGATAACCCCCGTTTCTGATTCACTTCTTTATCTAAATAGTTATCACTGCATAAACCGGTTTTCATTTTGTCTTTACTGCACAATATTTCATTTTACATTCTGTTCTTGTGTATATCATATTCTATTACGTGCAATAGACTTCTTACAATATTTTTGTATTTTATTATATATGAAAGTTAACTGTCCTCCTAGCTTCCCAATTAAATGTATTTATTCTTTACCGACTCATTTTTGTCCTTAAATGTACTTGTAATGGAAGGTTGGTAAAATCATCTTATTGCACAGTCCTGGACATTTTCTTATATATTCATAACCCTTTGTTTGGTTTAAATTGAGTTTGCATAGTCAAAATAAATCAAAAACTCCAGTTTTTTGGTTTGTGATGGATTCCAACCAAATAGATATATCTGAGCATCATTTCATCCAAACGTATCCCAACATGTGGAGTCTCCTGAGACTTCATGATCTCCACCAGAGTTTTAAATAAAGTTCAGACGATGCCTCGCTGCACAGCTTGGGGTTTGATTTATGAGGTTTAAGAGATAAGAAGCAGAACTAGAGACGTCAGAGTGTAGTACTGCGTAACCTGCTGCAGTTCATCTCTGGTTAATGATTGTCATGGGTTTGTTTGAATGTGTTTACATTATGAGGGAGATCAGAGCGAGGAATGACCCGAAAAAGGGCCAAGAGGAAAGAGCAACGCACAGATACATGTTTCTGTCCGCATTCCTCCATACATGACGTCATTTCATCGACCTGAAGTTGTGTCTGTGATTTTCTATATTCTTTATTTACACTACAAGTAATTATGATGTTTAACAAATATTAATTTTTATTTAAATGTATTTATTTGAACCCTCTTTACCTCAAAACCCAGCTTTAAAAAAAGGCATTATTTCAGTTTTTTTACGTTGTATTTTTAAATATATATATATATTTAATATAGGCACTTTGGTCAAATAGATTTAAATATAATAAATTATATAAATATAAAAAAGACATGCCATACGTTAGCCTCAAATCCAAAGGCAGTTTTTTATATGACATTTAAAAAAAAAAATGTATTACATATTTAGAAAGAGAGATAAAATATATATTTAAATGTTACAGTGCTTCGGTGACCTGTTTATCATACCATCATTTTTAAATGTATTGGTAACACTTGCAGACTCTTGTGAAAAAGACAAATATAGATTCATTTTTTGTCTTTCTTTTGTAAAATAGGATCATTTAAATAAGTAAAGAATTTGCCATAAAAAAAAAATATATTCATGGCCTTCAAACTGTTTAAGATCTCCCTTCTTCTAGCCACGATTGTGCCGCTTCCACAGAGGTGCAAGATGAATATACTATCAGTTAAATATGACAGGAGCAGACCCTGAACTTGCCAAGAAACAGAAGTGATTTGATTTGGATATTGAACTCACCAAAGTGCATTTGATGCCCACGCTCTCTGCAGCCTGGAAGGCTAAGGTGAAGTTTCTCCTCTGAGGAAAGAAGAGTCAAAAGTCACAATAAGTGGATTTAGATTTGGACAATCTGCTGTCCTGGAAAGACCACACTGAGTACATCTGCAAAAGGACAAAACAAAGAATGAGTTATTTCCACTGCTTGAGCTTATTTACGGGCGGGTAGACCATTTCCTCTTGTTTTTCACACCTATGATTGTGATATGATATGGGCAGGTGTTTCTACAGTATTGCCATTCTCCATGGGACAAGCGTTAGTCCCCTGCTTTAAAGTGTAAACACTAAATGTGAATCATAAGAAAGATTGCAGGTCAGCCCTTTGAGAAACTGTGGATAAGCCTACCATAATAAGAGCAGATATGAATTGTTACCATGACATCGGAGGTACAGGGTGCCACGATTTGATAAATTAAGATTACAGTCAATCCTAAATCAAATGTACGTTAAAGGGATTTGAACACATCGTCTTCGGTGATTGAAATGTTAAGTTAACTATGTGTGTCCTTGTCTTAACGTTTGTCCTGTGATGTTGCCAATGGAGCTGATATAATGCAGGAAACATTTCAGACTAGATCTGACAATACAGTCAAATGGTATTGTATTGTAAGGTAAGGTATGTTTATGTATAAAGCACATTGTCAGACACAGAGGCAATTCAAAGTGCTTTACCTCATCAGTAACACTTAATAAGAAGACAACAGAAAGGAACACAACACAATAAACACACTGGAGTAAACAGATGAATCAGAACCATGCAGAAAAGAGATAGTTTAAAAACAAACATTGTAAATACAGTAGGTGCTAACAATGGTGTATTGTATATGTTAAATAGTGGTGTTGTCCTGGCTGCTGAGCTCCTGGTTTAATACAGAATTTAATCTCAAATCAAATCCACGCTAAAGGGTAAGGAACATTTTGTCTTCAGTGATTGTATCGTCACGTTAAATGTCTGTTTCCTTGTGTCTTGTGTCGCACGATACAAGGAAATGGTCAGACTGGATCCGACACTAAAGCATCAAAGGATCATATCATGCATGTTAAATAGCGGTGTGGTCTTGCCTTGTCCTGGCTGCCGAGCTCCTGGTAGGGGATGTGAGCCGGCAGGTAGGTGTGCAGCACGGCGCAGAAAGCCAGCCCGTCGTTCCAGCTGCTGCTGAAGTTTGTGATGTCAATTTTCTGCCAAAAAAACAAACAAAAAAACAACCAACGATTAGGAATGGGGGAACGAAAAGGATCGATTGTCTAAATCACAAGAAACAAGGTTCAAATCACAAAAAGACACTGGTAAATCTTTGTATAAAATGCCTTTACATGTTCGATCTAAATATAAAATATGACGTAGAAGAAGTAGATAAAATATAGCTGACAGAATTAAGACCTTCTTGAACCTTCCACACTAACCCTGTAACAGTATTAAAGTTTGCAACTTATATATATCAATATTCCAATGACTTGTATAGATGAGAGTAACACCTACGTCACTTCCGGGCGAAAATTACAGCCACGCCCACTTTTGGAGGAAAACAAAGCTGTCATTTGAACGGCGGTCAATACAAATTCTGACGTTTTTGACAATCCGATCAGAAATGTTTGAAAACCGTGGATTTTCTGATCTCCAAAGCGCCCGGTGGCCAGTCAGGCAAACAATTACATTAAATCATTGGAAATCGACAATCGGGCTCGATATATGGTTAAATATAAATCAGTAGGCCAGGCTGTAATTTCGCCAGCTGTTACTCTACTGAGCGAGGCGGAAAATAATAGTTTTATCATGCCAACAAGCTGCTGTGTCGTTTATTGCTCCTCAAACATTAAAAAAAATCCAGAGTTCAGTGTTTCTGTACTTCCTCTAAGAAGAAAGGAAAGTATAAGAAGAGCTCTGTGGTTTCCCCCAAAAGTGGGCGGGGCCGTAAAGTGACGTAGATGTTACTCTCATCTATGGACATCGATCGCCTACTGCTTTATTTAACCATATATCGAGCCCGACCGTCGATTTCCAACGATTTAATGTAATTGTTTGCCTGTCTGGCCATCGTAACCGGGCGCTTTGAAGATCAGAAAATCCACGGTTTTCTTATATTTCTGATCGAATTGGCAAAAACTTCAGAATTGACATTGACCGCCGTTCAAATGACAGCTTTGTTTTCCCCCAAAAGTGGGCGGAGCCATACTTTTTGCCCATAAGTGACGCTTGTGTTACTCTCATGTATATAGACTATTCTGAACTGTTTATTATATTCTATTTTCTTACACTATTTTATCTGTTTTATTGTGACCTAATATGTCCATTGTCATATCTACACTGTAGCTATGAACACATGACCATAAAAGCCTTAAATCTAGTGTTGACCGAAGCATACATTGCGTCCTTAAACTCCCCTCTTCTCCTCGGCGTTCTGCACTTTGTAGATAGGTTTATTGTTTTTTACTAAACTGCTGTTATTTTGATTCTGGTTTATTTTGTGTTCTCCCCATTATTTGTTTTTGTTTTGTGAGCTGCGCTGTGGGACTTTGTATTTCTCTGTACAGCACTTTGGTCTGGAGGTTTTAAAAAGGGATTTAGAAATAAAGTTGGATTGGATTTCATTTTCATGCGTAAACCTACAAATGCTATTTATAGAATTAAAAAGAGTATTTGTGGAAGTTTAGCACAAATAAATGTAAATAAACCTTTTTCTCATCTTTATCTTTTACCTGTTTACATGAACTAAAATAACTCCATGATCGAATGGTGAGATACAAAAAGATTCTCACCTGACGCACTTCTAAGTACAGTCCATTTACACTTAAACACGACATTTACGGTCCGGAGCAAAATATATAAATCAGGTCAATATAATGTCACGCGGTGCTTCGGCTGTGAAACACCGTGTGATATTATATTGACCTGATTTATATATTTTTTCAACAGTAAAATGACGTCAATAAATCCAGCTTTAATTGTACTATTTAAAATGATTTAAAACAAGACACTAACAGCAAAATAATATTTGTAACATACACACACTCATTTATACACACTTATAAAAACATACAGAAAATGGATTTCTTTGGGGGGGATATTTTCTGATTTATGGAGTCAACAAAGAGATATCCCTCTGTAGAAACCATTAGGCGCTTTCACACCAGAGTACTTTTCCCAGGAATAGTTGTGATAGTTCTTGGGATTTTGCGTTCACACCAAAAAGATCTGGAACTAGAACTTCGTTCATGCGAACCTTTTCACCCCCTTTTTAGTGCCTGCTAGAGAGGTGGTACTCTCCTGGGGAGGAAACACTGTTTCCACAACCAATGCTAACATATTATTAGTAGTAGACCAAAAAGGTAGATAGATATGTCACTATGTGTACAGATGTCCATTTTCACTTTAACTTATTCCATACTTTATAACTTAGATGACCAAATATGTATATATACTGACAGTTATTTACTCTTATTTTACTCCTCTCCTATTTTATAGTCTTTTATTATTATTATCATTTAAATTTTTTCTTGATTTTCTTGATTTTTGATTTTCTTGATCTGTGTGAATCTTTGCCGTCCTGTTTTTTCACGCTTACCCTGTTGCTGCTTTGTACAACTGAATTTCCCCTCGGGGATTAATAAAGGTTCATCTTATCTTATCTTATCTTAAAAGGTTCCAATTTCTGATTGGCTGGGCGAATTAGAAACCACGCCCCGTAAAACTCCCAAAGTTGTGTGAAGCCGCCATTTTATTTGCACGCATTAGCATTATTAGCATTAGCCCAACGCACCAACGGAGAGAGACTAACTTATGGCAACACAAAATAAAACGTGGGAGCGGTGGAGATGAGGAGGTATCAGTGCTTCTGGCGATTTTCCTGGGACTTTGCGTGAAGTGGTTTGCGGCCTGCCAGTAACCCAGAGCAGAAGAAGAAGAAGTGACGTCAGCGGCTTCATTTGCGTAATCCTCCCTCAGGGATTTATTTCCGGTGTGAACGCGATTTACTAGGACAGTTCCCAGACTAAAGAGTTCGGCGGGACAAAGTACCGGTGGACCAAGTCCAGCAAAGTACTTGGTGTGAAAGCGGCTATTGACTCTAATATGTCAACAAAAAGGAAACAAGGATTTTGAAACTGGCTTTATCTAATGTTAGACATACTGTAACATTTGATGTATTATTCCATTCCCTACACTCTTAATGTAAATAATATCCTGCTTTATATTGTGACTAAGCCCTTCAATAGTTTTTAATTGTCAAAGTTTATAGATTTATTTTTATCTTCACCGTCTACTGTATATTTTCTACTTTTCAATAACATTTCAATTCTATTTTGAGATGATTCAATTCTAGTATTTTTTATTTCTACTCTTTAATTACTTATGTGCAATGCCTTGTTTTGTTTTTGCAAACATTTCCCAATTTGGGATCAATAAAGTACCGGGGGGGGGGGGGGGGGTGTCTAAAGATGAATCTTGATTGGGCCAAATTTGAACCCGAGTAACCCAAAACAATGCTGCTGGGTCCCCAGACCCCAACACCAAATTATACATCTTTTTTTTTTAGAGACCTTCAGACTTGGCAAAAATGTCTATAGCTGTTGTGGAGGATATCTTGAAGCCTTGTTCCGATAAAAAAATATTATATAATTTTAAACTTGAAACGGGTCACGGGAGACCCGAACACAACATAAGGGTTAAAACATAACATTTCAGAAAGATTGTAAAACAACAATTATGTGTCTTAATGTCAGTAATGAAACTAGGTAAGTTTCATGGTGATATCTAAGTGTTATTTGTTTTACTCCATCCATCTGCAGTGTCCTTAAATAAAAGCTAGCTTGATATGATGCTGAGAGTTAATGCGAGGCTCTCCATCACTCTTCAGATTGATCATCTCTTTCCACAGTTTAACCTTTGCAGGGCCGTAAACAACCTCTGAGCTTGAACACAACAACACGCTGAAACCTCCCCACAGCCACTACTATACTCTGGAAAGCTCGCCGTGATTCAGAGAAAGTCTGTGTTTTTCTGAGGGTGGTTAACTCGCAGGATGTGTGAAATGTGGCACACTTCCTGGAGAGGCACCAAGCTGTCATGGTAACCACAACTCACACCTGTTAGAAAGGGATAAACATCACTTTAATATGACGAGAGACTCTCCACACACCGGCTGAGTGTCGTTATAGTCCCAGTCATTTCTAGGTTTATGCTTTAAAAAGGGATTTATTTTATATGAGTCAATGAAACTGCACTTAAATCAACATTTAGACCGGTGCATCTGCAACAACAACACACTGCACATGTCTAAGGTTAACTCCACACATCCAAATCAATATCTATGTATTATTGCAGTTTCATTTTACATTGTGTATATTGTTACTATTTTATGTAGAAATTGTTGTTATTCTTGCAACTTTTATCTTATTCAATAATTATTTAGATGTTTTTTTGTATATTGTATGTTGCATTGCTGGAGGAACCGTCAAAGAGAAATTTGACGGTAAAAGTTTGAAGTTAAAATGGTTCTTATTGTGGACGACTTTTCCTGCAAAAGCCCTTAAATATGGTGGCCGACAGGTGCAAAGGCGCTACAACGGCACAAAACATTTGCATTAGGGAGACCAGGGGACACTAAAGAGTGACGCACACGGCTGGGAGACCAGGGGACACTAAAGAGTGACGCACACAGCTGAGAGACCAGGGGACACTAAAGAGTGACGCACACAGCTGGGAGACCAGGAGACACTAAAGAGTGATGCACACAGCTGAGAGACCAGGGGACACTAAAAAGTGACGCACACAGCTGGGAGACCAGGGGACACTAAAGAGTGACGCACACAGCTGGGAGACCAGGGGACACTAAAGAGTGACGCACACAGCTGGGAGACCAGGGGACATTAAAGAGTGATGCACACAGCTGGGAGACCAGGGGACACTAAAGAGTGACGCACAGCTGGGAGACCAGAGGACACTAAAGAGTGACGCACACAGCAGGGAGACCAGGGGACACTAAAGAGTGACGCACACAGCTGGGAGACCAGGGGACATTAAAGAGTGACGCACACAGCAGGGAGACCAGGGGACACTAAAGAGTGACGCACACAGCTGGGAGACCAGGGGACATTAAAGAGTGACACACACAGCTGGGAGACAAGGGGACACTAAAGAGTGACGCACACAGCTGGGACGGAGCGCTTGGTGACGTTCAGGATGATAAAGCTGAACAACTGTCTCTGTTGTTGGAAACTTACCTAAAAGGTTTTACGGTCTTATTTGAACAAAGTGATCACATGACTCCTTCTGATGTCACTGCAGATCTGCTGTAAGCTAGCTAGCTAACGTAGCTAACCTAGTCATTTCAGATACACTGACAGTTATGAGACAGACTAACTCTGCCAACTGTTCACTCTGAACTTAGTTATAGACTCTCAGATCAGATGGTGCCTTCAGGGACCGACTGTACCTGATAACCCTCCGTCTTCTTCTGGCACCACTTTAACAGAGCGTTTCTCTTGGAGCCTCCGTACTCTCGGGCCAGGGCCGACAGCGGGTCCTTCCTCTCTTCTCTGGAGGAAAAACACAGAAGAATAGAGACGTGAGCAAACACTCCGACAAAGTTTAAAAAGATTGAATAACTTCACTTTTTACACAACAGATTAGGTTGTTATCATTATTGCATCTATGACGGGTTACGATTACAGATAAGACTGAAAACTAATTCTCTACAGGTGTGAATAACGCAGATCATAGTTTTTTAAAGCTGGAGTGAGACATTTATGGCACGTTTCCACTGCAGCGGGTAGCTCGCTTTAAGCGTGCCGAGCCGTGCGTGGCCCGTTTTTGGTTGCGTTTCCACTTGGCCTAGTTTTGGCCCGGGGCTACTTTTTCACCTTTTTTCTGGCCCGACTAAATCGTGGTTCTAAAGGCCAGGAACAACCAGGCTGAGTCGGGCTGAGTATGCTAAACTAGAGAGAATCGCTGGCAAGGGGGCTACAACTACAACAAGATGAACATATTTGACCGTGATTTAATTGTAATACACGTTTCAAAATGATGCCGAAGTAACAACATACTGATACCGGTTAGTGAAAACCATGAATTAATGCTTTGACAAGTCTGAATTGGAAATGGGGGACCCTGATGTAAACAAGACGAAAGTCTTTCTCTGGTCTGCATCCCCTTAACAATTGTATGTTTTGAGCTGTACTGTACCCAATATACAAGCTGTTAATAAACGTTTCAATCAATCAATCAATCAATCAATGCAGACAGACGGCAGGCGAAAACCCTTTTTAAAATGCGTGTTTGCTAAATGTAGCTTGGCTAAGCTAACGTTATATATGCTCCGACCGTCCACACTCACAACAACGGCCTATACAGACATAAATAAACCAGCGACTGTATTCGCCATGACACAGGCAGTCTGTGGTTTGTACTTGTTTAACTTTTGTCTAGTTTCTGAACAGATATGAGGAGCTGTGAGCTCTGAGTGCTAAGAGCTAACGGCTGTGTTGTTTTTCTGGGGCTCTCATTGAAGATGACGTCACGGCTCCGCCTACACTGCGTTACTATAGTAACTGCCCCAGTTCCTAAACTGTAATGGAAGCGCAGCATTAAAGTGAGCCGGGCCTAATAAGGCCTAACCAAACCGAGCGAGGCCTGCAGTGGAAACGCGCCATTAGTGTTGAGATAATAAGAAGCAGATTTTTCTGGAAATCTGGTTAAAAATGTTCAACATTAACTGAAATATAGGCAATAACACATCTCAATACCAGATCAGTAAGACATAGAGCGTGATTACTAAATGAATCATTTATGACTTTTGACAATGGACAAAAAAAAAAAGATCAAATAAGAAACTAGCTAATAAAATTAACACTTTTTAGGTTAACCAACTTCTAATCATTGCATAATTAGTAGAGGACGGAAACAAGGTTTTTATTTGCCAATTTTCTTGAAATTCGGGTAAAATGTGTGATCAATTCAAATAATAACCGGCCATTGATAAGAGCATATGTGACCTGCTCTATCGAAATCAGTCGCATTAACACGAAGACACATGTTGAGTTGTTGGAAAGAGGATATTCCTAGCTTTCTAATGATATCAGGATTGTTTTTGTACTCCAAATATTCAGCAAAATATGTCACATTATATAATGACTGTCACCGAGTCATCATTTTGAGAAAAAGGCCTTCAAAGTTTCCTCTTCTCTGGAATCCATCGATCTGATTGGTTATTAGCGGAGCCAAGGATCAAAGTAGTACAGAGGGAAAATATTTACCCTTGGATTACTGGTCTGGGGGAAGCTCGCGAGTGTGTGTGTGTGTGTATACACGTGTGTACGTGTTTGTGTATTTTTGCGTTTGTGTGTATTGCGTTTGTTTCCCGGGGAAAACACTCACGAGAAACACCGGCTGTTATGCCTGCGGTGACGTCAAGTTACTCCGCTTGTAATTATGCCGTCACAAGCTTCAAAGTTGTATTTATCATCTGAATTTGCCGAAACAAGTTTCATATTCTGAAAACCAAGACTTTGTTTATTTAAAATCAAACAAAACACCCGAACCCCGAAAAAGTAGTTAACGCAAATCCACGTTTATTTTTAAATGAGCCGTCGCGACTTCCGACTGATTTCGATAGAGAAGGTCACATATTAGGAAGTAAGTAAAATGTATTTATAAAGTGCTTTTCCCAGACATAGTCACAAAGTGCTTGACAAAGCATTAGAATAAGATACGTAATAAATGTCTGTATTTATGTATAATTTGTCAAGACTTAGAAGGAAGGGGTAATGTATGTATGTGTATGTGAACAATATCGTGTAGATTTGAGTGGACTGTAAACTGAGGCGGGTGTGATTTTTATGTACATCTCCATGTATGTTATATATTTGTGGAATAAATCATACGAGTCATAAAGGATTAAAGGACCACACAAACCACGTGTTAAGAAGTGCTAAAAACACAGAATAAAAGCAGGATTATTAGCAGGAGTACAGGCCAAAGATCACATCCCAGTTTGTAGAGTTTTCTCAGAACAACAATAAAGAGGATTTGAGAGTTACCTGAGGCGGCTGCGGGGCCGGTGGGAGTGATGGAGGAGGGTGGGGGGGGGAGGAGGAGGAGAGGGAGAGAGGAGAGGAAGCAGCACTCAGAGCCATCAGGGGAAGGAAGAGGAGGAGTCCGGAGCAGACATGTCCCTCTTCATCTCCTCACTGCTGAGGCGGGACACTGGGGACAGGATTAGAAACATCATTACTCAAAAAAAGAGGAGTTCGATTTTATAGGGAAACTTCACCTAGTATATGATCATTGAAATATGGAATAATCAGCCCTTGAAGTCTTGAAGAAAACTTTTTTTGCATGACTTTGCAGTATCCGAAAAATCATACAAATCTGAAAGGATTTAAGTATATCCCGGTGTAGGTAACCAGATGTGCACGGCCTACCAGATCAGCCCGGGTCCGTTACGCTTACCAATGACGTCACGCATTGGCTTGTACGGCAACCAAGAGGACATTTTACACGGCCAAATTCCGTAAAGAATATTAAAAAATAACAATCGACAGTGAATGTATGTTAGTGGAACTGTGTCAGGAAAGTGAAGTGTTAATTAAGGAATGTTATTGAAGAACTGAAATGCATAAAATAGAAGGTTAATATGTAGCATATCCCTCCGAAATATGGTCGTAGACTTTACTGGTGATTTAGAATTGATCCAGACTCAACGTAAGAGCTTGTGCCTTTTCGGGGGGTGCTAACATTTAAACATAACACTTTATTCTTTACTTTCTCCGTCTGTTATATGTAGAAGATATAACTTTTCTCCGTCATGTTGTTTCCATAGCAACTTCCTGTCAACATCGTAAACTCGCCTTCTAAATAAAAGCATCTAAATAAGACAGGAAGTTAACCTAAATTACATTTAAGACATACAACTGCAACGAACGTAACAAAAACAATGAAATATCCTTTTCAGTTCACAGAACACAAATTGGGTTATTTACATAATATGTTTACATGATTTTGTTGTGCAATAAAACAAAGAGGGATATGCTACATATTAACTTTCTATTTTATTGCATGTCAGTTCTTCAATACATTCCTTATTAACACTTCAACTTTCCTGACACATTTCCACTAACATACATTCCACTGTCGATTGTTATTTTTTAATATTCTTTGCGGAATTTGGCCGTGTAAAATGTCCTCTTGGGGTTGCCGTACAGCCATCTGCGTGACGTCATTGGTAAGCGTAAAGGACCCCGGGCTGATCTCGTAGACCGTGCACATCTGGTACCCTACACCGCTGCGTTTAGAGACAGCAAAACAGTGACAGGAAATTAATGAGGAAAAATGTAAAAAATGCCCTAAAGAAATATCTCAGAATGTCCCTTAAATCCATCGACAAGGGGCCAAATGTTCCCGCAAGATTCATTTAAAAAAAGATACGAATTAAAAAAAGATATTTACTGGTTAGCAAATGTTTCTAATAGTCTTATTAAAGTACCTTACCTTTATTTTAGTACATGTTTACTTTATGCATAATTATAGTTTTTTTAAGTTATTGGGAATTATCTAAAAATATCCCCAATATTTTAGACAGTAAAAAGTTTCCCTTTAAATATATATTTTTAATTGCCACACTGATCAAACTATGTCAAACATCTCTTAAAAACTCACTTTAATATCATTTTGCTGTTAAACCGCGTCCCCAATTGACTTCAATTCATCAAAAGATGTCTTTGTTAAAAAAACTGAGAACTCTGCAGGAATTCAATTTAACACAGGGCGAGTAAATGATCAACAAGTTATTATTTTTGTGGTGAATAATACATTTATAATTGTATCATTCAGCCAACGTGTCTAACCTGATATCGTCTTGTTGGAGTCCATGTTGGAGACCCTCTGGATGGCCGAGGCGGGGCGGCTGGACCCGGATCCCCTGAGCAGGTGATCAGCTGTGGACACATAACAACAAATACAAAAATAAAATACATTGAGAGGAAGAAGTGTATTTAAAAATAGACCCACTGTATTACAATATATAACGTAAAAAAACGTGTAAAATATGAATAATACAATATAAATAGAAGTGTATTAATATGATGATAGTCAGGCTTTTTAAAGTAAAATGTACAGTGTAATCAATGTATAATATTGTAATAAACATGGTAGTACAATGTGGACATTTTATTTTAAATTCTTATGTTTTTATAAATATTTGTATTCCATTTTATTAGACATTTTATTTTTAACTTATTTGTTAATTTAAATATATTGATTTAATTTTTTTGCACAATCTTATTTTTACTTCTAATTGTGATATACATGTAATCTTTTAAGTGCACAGTCATACTCAACATGCTTATTTGTAAATACATATATTTAATCTATGGTATCTTTTTATTGCAGTCTTACTTGAACTCTCTTGAATTCCCCCCAAAATGTAATATTCTAATTGTGCGTAATAATGCCACAGTGGTGTGAGTACTGCAGAGTTGTTTAACTAATGAATCATATTTAGTGTTTCGATAAGAGACTTCCTCTGAAAGGAAATAACCAGGTCAGTAAAGAAACACATTCCAGTGACGCTGAGCTCGGGGGAATACTGACGAAGGAGAGGCCAAATAAACCAATAAATGACGGAAAACTAAGAGGAACATCGGAGGCTATGGCCAAGTCTGCACGTTCACATTAAACACTTGAACTCGTCACTGTGCAGATGAACTGTGGGAAGAACTACAGCGGAGAATGGTGGATCATTGCTCCCCTCTTATCATCCACTCGGGTGTTTTGATAAACTGACACAGGAAACCTGCTCACGCCATCCTCCGGGGGAAACTAAATGTTTCTCATGAGGAGATGGGGGGTCCGATCCTGATCATTGTTAGTTTACTGAGGTGAAGCAGAGGAGTGGCTGATATGAAACCCTCTCAAACCAGTTTTAAAAGACAGGTTTCCTTTTTGAAAATCATACATTTCATCAATTAACATCAGAGGTGGGACGTAGTGGAGTACAAATACTTCGTTACTGTACTTAAGTACATGTTTCTGGTATCAGTACTTTACTCCACTACTTACACGACTTTTTACTTTGACTTCTTATATGTTGAACTCAAATACCTGAACTTTCTACTTCTTACATTTTGAACTCAAATACCTGTACTTTCTACTTCTCACATGTTGAACACAAATACCTGTACTTTCTACTTCTTACATGTTGAACACAAATACCTGTACTTTCTACTTCTTACATGTTGAACTAAATACCTGTACTTTCTACTTCTTACATGTGAACCCAAATACCTGTACTTTCTACTTCTTACATGTTGAACCAAATACCTGTACTTTCTACTTCTTACATGTTGAACTCAAATACCTGTACTTTCTACTTCTTACATGTTGAACTCAAATACCTGTACTTTCTACTTCTTACATGTTGAACAAAATACCTGTACTTTCTACTTCTTACATGTTGAACCCAATACCTGTACTTTCTACTTCTTACATGTTGAACACAAATACCTGTACTTTCTACTTCTTACATGTTGAACAAATACCTGTACTTTCTACTTCTTACATGTTGAACCCAAATACCTGTACTTTCTACTTCTTACATGTTGAACCCAAATACCTGTACTTTCTACTTCTTACATGTTGAACACAAATACCTGTACTTTCTACTTCTTACATGTTGAACAAATACCTGTACTTTCTACTTCTTACATGTTGAACTCAAATACCTGTACTTTCTACTTCTACATGTTGAACACAAATACCTGTACTTTCTACTTCTTACATGTTGAACTCAAATACCTGTACTTTCTACTTCTTACATGTTGAACTCAAATACCTGTACTTTCTACTTCTTACATGTTGAACACAAATACCTGTACTTTCTACTTCTCACATGTTGAACTCAAATACCTGTACTTTCTACTTCTTACATGTTGAACTCAAATACCTGTACTTTCTACTTCTCACATGTTGAACTCAAATACCTGTACTTTCTACTTCTTACATGTTGAACTCAAATACCTGTACTTTCTACTTCTCACATGTTGAACTCAAATACCTGTACTTTCTACTTCTTACATGTTGAACTCAAATACCTGTACTTTCTACTTCTTACATGTTGAATACAAATACCTGTACTTTCTACTTCTCACATGTTGAACTCAAATACCTGTACTTTCTACTTCTTACATGTTGAACCCAAACACCTATACTTTCTACTTCTTACATGTTGAACACAAATACCTGTACTTTCTACTTCTTACATGTTGAACCCAAATACCTATACTTTCTACTTCTTACATGTTGAACACAAATACCTGTACTTTCTACTTCTTACATGTTGAACCCAAATACCTGTACTTTCTACTTCTTACATGTTGAACTCAAATACCTATACTTTCTACTTCTTACATGTTGAACACAAATACCTGTACTTTCTACTTCACATGTTGAACTCAAATACCTGTACTTTCTACTTCTCACATGTTGAACACAAATACCTGTACTTTCTACTTCTTACATGTTGAACCCAAATACCTGTACTTTCTACTTCTTACATGTTGAACTCAAATACCTGTACTTTCTACTTCTTACATGTTGAACTCAAATACCTGTACTTTCTACTTCTCACATGTTGAACTCAAATACCTGTACTTTCTACTTCTTACATGTTGAACTCAAATACCTGTACTTTCTACTTCTTACATGTTGAACTCAAATACCTGTACTTTCTACTTCTTACATGTTGAACTCAAATACCTGTACTTTCTACTTCTCACATGTTGAACTCAAATACCTGTACTTTTCTACTTCTTACATGTTGAACTCAAATACCTGTACTTTCTACTTCTCACATGTTGAACTCAAATACCTGTACTTTCTACTTCTTACATGTTGAACTCAAATACCTGTACTTTCTACTTCTTACATGTTGAACTCAAATACCTGTACTTTCTACTTCTTACATGTTGAACTCAAATACCTGTACTTTCTACTTCTCACATGTTGAACTCAAATACCTGTACTTTCTACTTCTTACATGTTGAACTCAAATACCTGTACTTTCTACTTCTTACATGTTGAACTCAAATACCTGTACTTTCTACTTCTTACATGTTGAACTCAAATACCTGTACTTTCTACTTCTCACATGTTGAACTCAAATACCTGTACTTTCTACTCTTACATGTTGAACTCAAATACCTGTACTTTCTACTTCTCACATGTTGAACTCAAATACCTGTACTTTCTACTTCTTACATGTTGAACTCAAACACCTGTACTTTCTACTTCTCACATGTTGAACCCAAATACCTGTACTTTCTACTTCTTACATGTTGAACTCAAATACCTGTACTTTCTACTTCTTACATGTTGAACACAAATACCTGTACTTTCTACTTCTTACATGTTGAACCCAAATACCTGTACTTTCTACTTCTTACATGTTGAACTCAAATACCTGTACTTTCTTTTTTTTAATGTGAACACAAATACCTGTACTTTCTACTTCTCACATGTTGAACTCAAATACCTGTACTTTCTACTTCTTACATGTTGAACTCAAATACCTGTACTTTCTACTTCTCACATGTTGAACTCAAATACCTGTACTTTCTACTTCTTACATGTTGAACTCAAATACCTGTACTTTCTACTTCTTACATGTTGAACTCAAATACCTGTACTTTCTACTTCTTACATGTTGAACTCAAATACCTGTACTTTCTACTTCTCACATGTTGAACTCAAATACCTGTACTTTCTACTTCTTACATGTTGAACTCAAATACCTGTACTTTCTACTTCTCACATGTTGAACTCAAATACCTGTACTTTCTACTTCTTACATGTTGAACTCAAATACCTGTACTTTCTACTTCTCACATGTTGAACTCAAATACCTGTACTTTCTACTTCTTACATGTTGAACACAAATACCTGTACTTTCTACTTCTTACATGTTGAACCCAAATACCTGTACTTTCTACTTCTTACATGTTGAACTCAAATACCTGTACTTTCTACTTCTTACATGTTGAACCCAAATACCTGTACTTTCTACTTCTTACATGTTGAACTCAAATACCTGTACTTTCTACTTCTCACATGTTGAACCCAAATACCTGTACTTTCTACTTCTTACATGTTGAACTCAAATACCTGTACTTTCTACTTCTCACATGTTGAACTCAAATACCTGTACTTTCTACTTCTTACATGTTGAACTCAAATACCTGTACTTTCTACTTCTCACATGTTGAACTCAAATACCTGTACTTTCTACTTCTTACATGTTGAACACAAATACCTGTACTTTCTACTTCTTACATGTTGAACTCAAATACCTGTACTTTCTACTTCTTACATGTTGAACCCAAATACCTGTACTTTCTACTTCTTACATGTTGAACACAAATACCTGTACTTTCTACTTCTCACATGTTGAACTCAAATACCTGTACTTTCTACTTCTTACATGTTGAACTCAAATACCTGTACTTTCTACTTCTTACATGTTGAACTCAAATACCTGTACTTTCTACTTCTTACATGTTGAACCCAAATACCTGTACTTTCTACTTCTTACATGTTGAACACAAATACCTGTACTTTCTACTTTCACATGTTGAACTCAAATACCTGTACTTTCTACTTCTCACATGTTGAACTAAATACCTGTACTTTCTACTTCTTACATGTTGAACCCAAATACCTGTACTTTCTACTTCTCACATGTTGAACTCAAATACCTGTACTTTCTACTTCTTCATGTTGAACTCAAATACCTGTACTTTCTACTTCTTACATGTTGAACCCAAATACCTGTACTTTCTACTTCTCTCATGTTGAACTCAAATACCTGTACTTTCTACTTCTTACATGTTGAACTCAAATACCTGTACTTTCTACTTCTCTCATTTTCCAAACAGCTGGTTCCTTTAGTCTGAATGTGTGTTTGGTGCGTGATCATTATTCTTTAGAGTCATTGCGTGCCTATTGATTTGAACACGATCCGTGTATCCATCATTTCCTGGTCTTCTCTAAAGAAGAGGGACCAATGGAAACGTTGTCATGTTGCCGTTGTTCAGCATGGAAACATTCATTAGCTAACAATGACATTATTGTTCTATTGATATAAAGGGAGGTCAGGTACTCTTTAAAGCAGCTGCTAGTTATGGGTACTTTTTACTGAAGTACATTTCAAAGCCTCTTTACTTTGACTTGAGTAAAGAAGTTTAGTCAGTACTTCTACTTTCACCAGAGTATTTTTAAACACGAGTATCTGTACTTCTACTTGAGTAAAGGTTGGAGTACTTTTGACATCTCTGATTATCATAGCCGCAAACTGGAAGAACGTAAAATTACTGTTGAATTTTAACATTTACGACGGTCTTTGAACAGATCGTGGAGGACGAATGGCAGGACACCATTTCAGTTTGTGGCATTTCATTTCCTAGAAGATTTTGTTCCATTTACGTCAGCAAAACGCACTACTTTTGTTAAGCAATTTAAGATAAGGTAAGATTAGATGGACCTTAATTTATCCCTGTGGGGAAATTCAGGAGTTTAAAGCAGTAACAGAGTGAGAGTGAAGAGGGTAGTAAGATCTAAATAACATTATATAAGTAACTGTTAAAAGGAGATATCACAACAAGATAAAACGTTGGTAATTTAAATGAACATATATACATACATGCTTTGGGTTATTAAATATTTACATGTATGTGTGAAGATGCGAGTGCAGGTACAATCAGGGCAGGTTTCTATGTATGTCCAGTAGGGTGGTCCTTCGTGCCATGTACATTTTCAAATTAATTTATTTTAAGCTCCAACCACCGGAATTTGTTATGAGAGTCAAGAAAACTCTCCTGGTGAATGTTTTCCTCAATCTGACAACATGTACCCCTCCCTCATGGACCTGGGCTGCCACACCAGCAGCCACGGTGCTGCCACTGAGGCTACACTTCCAGGTTGGTGAGGGGGGGTACATGTTGTCAGATTGAGGAAAACATTCACCAGGAGAGTTTTCTTGACTAATAGAATGAATTCTGGGGGTTGGAGCTTAGACTTTCCCACTTTCAATTTGAAGGACCACCCTAATGTCCAGTACGCGTTACTTTTATTGGGTTACATGGTTAACCCTTGGTTGTGCAGTCTAATGGCTTCAGGCACAGAGGACTGTCCGAAGCGCTGTGCCGAGGAGGGACGAGTCTGAGGCTGAACGTACTCCTCACAATTTGAAATTCTTAAATGAATATCATTTTGATTTAGTCTATCGTAAAAGAAAAAAAACTCATTTTGATTCATTTTCACTCCAGCTAAAATGTTATTATCACATTGTATGTTCTATATTATTTACATAACATAGGTGGTATGGTAGGAATTTTGTTACTAATCTTGTTGACATACCCAAATCTGCTCCTTTTGAATCTAAAGGCCATAAATTTCTGTAAAACACACAGCATGTAGACCGTTTTCCCCAACATCTGTAACTCTTGTTTGCACTTGGGAAAAGGTTTTATAAGTAGATTGAATGTTATGCTTCTTTAAATGAATCTATGGCATTAAAACTGATCTACTGCGCAGTGTCGCTTTTGTGTTCTTAAGCTATACATTGCAAAAGAAAAGTGGCGAGAGTTTCTGGAAGGTCTCAGTTTCAGAGGGTTAGCAGTACTATGTTTCTGCATGTGTAAAATTAATATATAGTAATAAAATAAGAGTTATTTATCCATAGTGTGGGACTAGTGTGGTGTGTTCCTCACCCGGCATGCTGATGTCCGTTGTAGCTCGGCCTCTTGTCGCTCAGCGGCTTGGCAGCTGACATCGAGCCAGGTAAGGAGTGTCTCTGGAATGGCAAACAACATAACAAATATTAACAAACTAGGAACAAATATTATTAGAACAATTATACAACAATGTAGTAATACATATTATGGAGTGTCTCGAAAAAATATATATACATACACATATATATAAATAATAAAATGACAAAGAAATATTAGAAATATCTGGAAGAATACCCGATGTATTAACCGAGTGTCTCTAA